CTAGAGTAAATAAATAATACTGACCTGGTGTAAATATCAACAAAAACAGCATTTAGCACTATATGCTGCCCTCTATACTATTTTCATTTCTCTGCCAAGGATGTTTCTGTATCAAATTATAAATAACTGCTTTGTCTAGACATTCTGATAGGTCATTTTTAAAAGTATCCCAGGTATTATGACTTTATCTAAGTGAAAAATAGAATATGCGGACAGAAACTAAGGAAACCATAAGAATTGTACTCACCGTATGTACTGAATATAAATTTGGAGGTGTCCATGGGTATTCTTGAATAATTTCTTGAAACACATTTTGTAATTGTCCCTGTGAACCTATTCTACCTAGTATACTATAAAAAACTGTCGACAATAATTGATTACTTTCAAAGAGAATCAATCAAAACAATTTTTCACCTTTAACTTAACCTAAAATTTTTGACATTTCCACAAATTTTCTTGTTATTTTCTTTGTAAAACTGAGACCAGAAGCAATAGGAAAAAATAACCAGTAAAACATCAAAAATTAATCTTTGGCAGTGGATATTAAAGGGTAAATATCATGACAAATTAAATGTCAAACCTAATTACTCCAGACAAAAGACAAAAACCGCACCAAAACAACAAGATTCCACTCACATTTTAAATAACCCACGGCAGCTAATCAGTTTCATACAATTTCGAACTACCGACCGTACATTTGTTTTTATGAAAACGGCACAAATTATTCAACATTCGCCATGTTTACGCTAAACGCTCTCGCTAAACGCACCAGTTGAAGTAAAATAGTGCGCAGGCGCTACGCTCCGGGACATTTTTTGCGAAATCGCACACCTAGCCGAAGAAATAATGAGAGGAATGCGCAAGAATTATACGAGGACATTTTTGGTCCTGGGCCAAGAGCGACCGTTGTTATCTAGTGCGACTTTCCAAAGATACATTCTTCAACAAGGTACATTGTTTCCAAGAATCTATATTGCCTTTTGTTTTTCTCCAACAAAACATATTATTTCAATCTGAAAATTGGAGAAGTATACGAGGGTACATCAAAGTGTTCTCCGAAGGCAAAACTTCGAAAATCTGTTGAAATGAACGGTTGCATCACGTTTGATGAATATCATGTCTCACTATTTTTGTTCAAATACCAATAAATATGTTCACGTCCCTTCAAAAAATAATAATTAATATAAAAACACAGGCTTTCATGGCCAGAGTTACGATTAAAGAAAACAAAATCCGGGCTGGTAGGCCGGGGTCGAATGAAACCTGAAGTATCAAACGTTTCGTCTGCCTCTGCGACAGACATCACCATTCCACTGCGAGGAAGAAGGTTATATCTCGAAGTTGTTGCTGACTGTACGTATAATTTGAAGTTTGAATGAGTTCAAAAGTGCACTCATAGAGTCTTCTATATATCACTTCCTGAATCTCCCTTATCCAGTAAATATTTTGCATACTCGATTATCACTTGGAAAATGTTATGTCTCGTCCATAATAAATATCTTCATAAGTCAGATTGTATTATGGCGGGTTTATGCAACAAACCTGAAAATGAAATTGAGAAGTTCTAGTTTAGCAACATAAATTAATCAACGGAAACGTTTATGGAGACCCGACTCAAGATAAGAATTAAGAGGTATGCTCAAAAAGTTTATATTTAATTAATAACTATAAGACCATGAGTACGCACCAAATTTATTTGCGTATTTACAACTGACATGAAAAATTCGTCTCTATTCTCAATAGTTGGAGTATGTTGTAAACAAGGTAACAATAAATCATTACGAGTTGAAGCGAAAAAATATATTATGTGTATAGCATGATATATATAGCAACAAACATGAACCCGAAGAGGGAAAGTATCTGTTATCAATTCCATCGTTACTTCAAAGTATATACAGGATTATTTGTAATTAAGTGTTTCGTGGCTGATGAATATATAACTATTGTCGAGCATTCCTGATTATGAATCAATAAAATGAAATATAATCGACTATCTGGCAACCAGAAACCTTACTCTATTGACTTTTGCTCCTGGGGGTTTATGAAAGCGGACGTGTATTCTGTTGAAATAATCGACAAACAACAACTGAGGCATCGAATCTTTGAAAGTGCAAATTAGTCAGTTTTTTTGCTTAACCAGATATTTTATGGGGATTTCTTTCAGGATGAATTGAAGAGAGCTCTTGTTTTTCTACTACACAAAACAGGTATGATAACAGAAATTAACAATTTTAGTCAGATTTCCTCTTTTTCAAAACTCTATTAGAAAATAATAGGTACGAGAATTTTGGTATATATTGAACAAAATGACCTATTCTGCAATACTCAACATGGTTTTAGGAAGAGTGAGTCAATTGAATCTGCATTTTACCAATTATTGAACTATATGAACTATGCATAAGTGGATAATAATAACCTGTTTTTTCACTTTTTTCAGACCTAACAAAAGCATTCAATACTGTTTCTTCCAAATTTCTATTAAAAATTGTTGAACTATATTTATGCATAAGTGAATAATATTAACCTGTTTTTTCACTTTTTTCAGACATAACAAAAGCATTCAATACTGTTTCTTCCAAATTTCTATTAAAAATTGTTAGTAATGGACTTTCCCAATAATGTGTTGTGTTGGAAAGAATCATACATGGAAAACCGTAATTTAGTGGTTGAATGTAATGGAATAACATAAGTTCCTTATGATGTGAAACTAGGTATTCCACAACGGTCTGTTCTGGGTGCATTGTTATTCTTGATTTTTATCAATGACCTACCTGAATTTTTATCCGATTGTTACAAAACTATGTATGCTGACGATACTACAATCACCGTTTATGGAAAAAACGGAAATGAGTTATCAATGAAAATATATTTAGTTATTGAACACTTCAGTAGTTGGTGTCAACGTAACAAACTGATTTTAAATAAATCTAAGTCAGTATTGATGAAAGCATTTGTTAGGAGGGATTTATGTTGTAATTTATTCACTTTGAGTGACATAAAAATATCAAAAGAAGAAAATTCTTTCGAAACTATTTTAGATGAGAATGAAAAGTGTGCAGCCAACTTAATTCAGCTCATTATTCAATCAAAGAGTTGAAACATTGTTAAGATAGGTTTGGTTTACTTAATGTTTATTTTGTGAATGCATACTCACACACATCCGTTTGAACATAATGCCTTGGGGATGTGCGAAGGAATTTTCTAGATATTTCATCTCTCAGAAACGACTGATAAAATTGATATTCAATCTGGGGTACCAAAAAAGTTGTAGACCAATGTTTAAAAGAGAAAGCTTCTTCACTCCACCCGCAATATATGTAATGAAATGTGTCGTTTTTGTGCATAGGAGCCTTGACTTGTGCACAACAAACTTGAGCATTCACAGTCGGGATACTTGCCATACTACTGCTCTGAGGGTCCCTTCGCATAAGAGTGGGATTTCAAAAAATCTCCATTATCGAAACACCGCTGTCTAGTGTTGAATCATAAATGCATTGTGTTTAGACTCTGACTCTTTAGAATATGAAATATTAATTTCAATATTTCAGTTTAAACACTTCACAATAACGCCTTGCCACTTTTTTGTTATGTCATGAATATTTTAAAAAACTCAGCTATCAATTATCAATAATAACACAATCGAATTCAGTCATGATGAATTAAAAATGATAAAGGAAAAACATATTTGTAGGGACCATTTTCAGAACAGCAACAATAAAAACAACTTCCGAAAAGCACCGGGTCTTCAATACCTACTGACCTACTTCCACTCTGTGGAACTGAGATAATTAACAATCCATTCATCCATCAGCATTTCCAATTTTCAATTAGAACCCACCTGAGGAGGGTCATGGCTATTTGCAGTCCGTCAGCCATGTAGTATTGCACAAACATTCCAACTTCAACTAAATTAATTCTTTCGAGAAAAATATCTGGTCTAAGAGGGGATCGAATCCACGACCTTTCGATCGTAAGTAGGGCGTCAATTCACCGCTAAGGAAGAAATTTAAGTTGTAATTTTCAATTTAAACAATGTTCACAACTTTGTTAGGAGTAATTCACATGCTGAAATCACCAATCAAGGTGTAGATACATAATTTGATTGCAGTCGAGGAACTATTTTGTGATGTCATTTTGGCAGGTTATTTGGGCCAACACTTCAACGATTTCAACAAAACTAGGTATATTTTGCTATGTTCAAGTTCAGTAACCACTCAGCAAAATATTTAGATTGGTAGTTATCACTTCGGGATTCTCAAAAAATTCATGGTTCCTGTTCTGTGCTGAGTGTCCCTTCTGTAAGGTATTCTGTGCTAGAACACCAGTAAATATGTTTTGTGACTCAACTACTTTTTCAGAGCAATTCAATATATTTTCCAATGGTGAGTATTTTTCGAATGATTTCAGGTATCGGATGATACAGTTTCATGTCAACCGCGAATAGGACTAAACTCCAATCAAACACGTCTTTTGTCTTGTGAATAGTATACGAATATAATTGTTAATAATTTTTAGCCTATTGTGCAGGTAGTTGGGAAAGATTAATATTTTGAAATATTTATTTCCTTATACGACAGTTTTTCACTTTTGATTTCTGTTAGATATATAATTTTAAGAAAACTCATTATTAGAGAATGTGATGAGTAAAGCAGCTCAAACTAAAGTCATTTGCTATTTTAGGATTTGGAAAAGCTGAATACACTTATTTGAATTAATGAATCGAAGAGGTTTTGTATTAAAGTGTATAATATATTAAAATTCTTGCAATTTTGAGTAAAGAATGCTTGTTTGGATTTTGTAGTATGTTTGAGAGGTTTTGCCTTCTGTCAACTGTTATTTATATTCATATAGCGACTTTACTTTTCTGCTGTAATGACATTGCTATTAGAATCAATAAATACTTCAACTACCAGTACAAAAAGTGATTATTGTAGTACGCCCAACCATACTATATCATTAAATTTTTGAACGCTTCTGAAAATACCGGTAAAATATAAATATGTATTTTGAAATATCTCACGGGAAAAATCCAATGGCAACACTGATCTTATGCTCTACGACTACACTTCTACAATAGCAGTTTCGTGTTTTGCTACATCTAGCGACTTAAAACGAAACGTCTTATATAAATAACAAGTATTCAAGATATTTTTATTTTTACCTATTTTTAAATGTGATTTAATAAAACGAATTTAGTTATGATGGATAAAGTTTCCAACGCTTTTCACAACTTTACGACTTTCATGGATAACAACACCCGTGGAGTACAGTTCGGTTGTTATTCTGTAGCACTTGTTGGATTAACAGTGGCTGTGAGGAAAGTTCGCCCTTTCAGTAAATTTAAAAAACCTTCGGATATTCCCAACCATTTCCTGAGAGAGAGAAGGGAACTTGTAGGTGTTGTGGATAGAATAGAGCCTCATGGTACACTACTGATGATAAGGCACAAACCATTGATCAATGTTCCATTTATTTCTTCAGGACATCTACCAGTTAAAATATCTGGAATTAATGTTAGTGGACTAGGGTGCAACTGGCTGCAAGCAGTATTGTCACATGAGAAAGTTACATTCATACCAATCAGCAAGGATAAAAATTATGTTCAATGTCAAGTATTGTTTACACAAAAAGATAAACAACAGAAGGAATACATCGTGAATGTAGGCGAAAAGTTGGTGAAAATAGGCTTTGCTGTACCAGAACTTATTGAGAAGCCTTTGTTGGAAGATACTCTTTACATGAGATACTACAAGTTACTCCAGAAAGCAGAAAAACATGCCCAATACAAAAAACTTGGTTTGAAGTACTATATAAAACCTACAAAGCAAGCAATATTCGAATTATACCAGCTCGCTTTTCTGTTATCAAGATATTCTTATAGTGCACTAAACAAAGGCCTGTCTAAAATTCCCAAAATATATGTGTCATAGCAATCACAGATACACCTAGTATTTGATGTTATTATTTTGATTTCACAAACTCTGGCTGTTTACAAAATTGTTACTTTCTTTTTTTATCCCCAACATGACAATAACATGTGGGAAGATTTGCTGTTAGTTATTGACTGATTTTTTTCAGACTACTTACTATCAGTTGTTATAATTTTGAGAATCAAATTTTTTAGTTTTCAATATAAATAAAAGCTTTTTCAGGACTGTTTCTATGAATGTATTATTTTCTCTACTTTCTTCCAAGTTATTGAGGGTACAGATATTACAAACCAAAGAGTGGGTATTGATGTCTGCAGTTTGAAAAGTAGATTTTTGGTCAGCCTGTTTAACCTTTAAGTAGTTGTGCTAAATTTTGTGATACTTTAAAGTAGTTTCAATTTCCTTAAGCAGTGAAGTAAAAAATCATTTTCAACTGGCTGTTCCATAGGGGTACATAACTGAGTCTGCCAAAAAGTGAAAAATGTATTATTCATTTTAATCATTCAGTGTTGTTAGGAATCGCACGTTAAAAGGTATGACCTTGTTAGTCTTTAGCTCTCACAAGTTTCGACTTCTGAGGGTTGTCTTTTGTAGGGGAGCGACAGCTGGTTAACGAAAAAAACCTATTTTAATGTTGTTTTATGATTTGATATGACAAATCTCAAAAGACTTTTCATAGTTGCATGTATATGATAAGTAACAAAAATATGAAATACTCGCCTTAATAATTGATAGATTTTTTTCAAATTAAACTCTCAAATTGGTTTATACTCTTGAATATCGATTAAAATTTTCGATAGTCATGATTCAATAGTGCTTTAATTAGGTACTTTATTACCTGAAGTATTGAATTAATGATAAAACCCTTGTGTCTTAATCATTGTTATTATTAGTGAATTTAAGTGGCTACTTAGGTTTTCTCTCCAGTAAAAGAATGATCAAATGTGCTTTTTTTGTTAACAAAAAGGATTATTATTCTTTATGTATATGACGCTCACATATACCAAAATCCTTCGTATACCGTTGCAAAAAAAAGGAGTTTCAAGAATGAGAGAAGAAACCAAACTGTGGAATCACCAAAACCATCTAACGAAGAAAAAAACTGTGTCTGTTGATGAAACCTACAAACTACAATTGAAAGAACAATATATTCATTTTATTTTAAGAAAGAAATGCCGAAAGAAGACCAAATTATGCCTCCAATGATCGGCAGAAAAAAATTGTAGGACACTTTGAAGAAATTAAATTTTAGCTGGAAAAAACAAAACAGAAAATCGCTCTTAACGAAAATAATAGAAATATTTGCTGGAGAAGACGTTACCTAAGGCAGATAAGAGAGTTTCACGTGAGAATAAAAAGATTTCTTTCTCTGGACGAAACTTGGCTTAATGAAGGATATACTGTTGAAAAGATGTGGCAAGACAAAAACATTACAAGTTCACATCAAGCATTTTCAGCAAGCATTCTAGCGATTGCCATGCAGACATAAACGGCTATGTTGGAAAAATATTTTGAGCAAATATTAGACCTCATTTCACCTCACTCTGTGATTTTGATTGATAATGCAAATTATCATTCCAGAAAAGTTGAAAGAATACCAACTAATGCATGGAGAAAATCGGATATCATTCAGTGCCTTCAAAAAAAAACCAGACCATTTGATGAAATTATGGTTAAAGAACTATTGTCTGTAGTATGTTCAAATAAAGATCGTTCACAGAATACATTGTCAACAGAAGTCACAGAAATCAAATATCATTATTCTGCTTCTGCCCCCTTATCATTGTAAGCTCAATCGCATTGATCTCGTTTGCACTCAAATTAAGGGTGTCGTTGCAACAAGAAACAGGTAATTCCAAATACTCTTTAAGGAGTCCTTGAAAAATGTAGATTGTGAAAAGACGGCGAAACTGTATTGGACGTGTTATAAAAGAAGAGGAAATCAGACTATATAGTTGAGGAAATTGTAGAACCTTCAATCATAACATTTGAAGAAGATTCATGGGATTTATCTGATGTTAACAACACTGGTTTTCATGTTTCATTATGTAGATACGTTGTGAACCTATTTATGACATTTGGTGGAAAACTAGTACCTTGATTTAAAAAGATTTCTTTCTCTGGACGAAACTTGGCTTAATGAAGGATATACTGTTGAAAAGATGTGGCAAGACAAAAACATTACAAGTTCACATCAAGTTTTTTCGGCAAGCATTCTAGCGATTGCCATGCAGACATAAACGGCTATGTTGGAAAAATATTTTGAGCAAATATTAGACCTCATTTCACCTAACTCTGTGATTTTGATTGATAATGCAAGTTATCATTCCAGAAAAGTTGAAAGAATACCAACTAATGCATGGAGAAAATCGGATGTCACTCAGTGGCTTAAAAAAAAAACAGACCATTTGATGAAATTATGGTTAAAGAACTATTGTCTGTAGTATGTTCAAATAAAGCTCGTTCACAGAATACATTGTCAACAGAACACACAGAAATCAAATATCATTATTCTGCTTCTGCCCCCTTATCATTGTAAACTCAATCCCATTGATCTTGTTTGCACTCAAATAAAGGGTGTCGTTGCAAGAAGAAACAGGTAATTCCAAATACTCTTTAAGGAGTCCTTGAAAAATGTAGATTGTGAAAAGACCGCGAAACTGTATTGGACGTGTTATAAAAGAAGAGGAAATCAGACTATATAGTTGAGGAAATTGTAGAACCTTCAATCATAACATTTGAAGATTCATAGGATTTATCTGATGTTAACACACCATACATTTTATTTATATTTAATATCTTTTTGAATGAGAGTACCTATTTATTTTTATGTAAATATTTTAAATTCAAGTGTTGTAACAATATTTATTGTATATAAATAAACAAACATAGTTATTAGTATTTTCAAATGTTTATGATTGAATATCCAAACACATGTCACTGCAGGTAGGAAACGACTCAAAGGATCATATAAAAATTTGTTTGTGACCTGTTTGCCATACAATAATAAAGAGGACCTGGTAGCGTATCATAAACCCGCCTATATCTGCAGTGGCAAATCATAACAAAATCACAAAATTTTGTGTAAGCACTTTATTAACGATTTGCATTTATTACTTTTCACTAGGAAATAAAGTATAGCACACTATTAATTGGAATCAACTAATGAGAATTATTACAAATTGTGAAACTGAAACTTACTGTCACAAAAAATTTAAATAACTATACTTGGATCATTTTTAGAACAGGATCTGTCCTACTTTTACACGATTACCTACCTTCCATCAAAGTTATTATGCTGAAAAGCTATAACTGTAGTCCAAAAAACCTCTAAGTAGGAAAACTGGAAAGCACTGTACTGAATCGACTTAACGGTATATAGTCTTAGGTGAGATATCAAATTTAAAAAATTAATGAAATATGTATTCAATTATCTTTGGATTATTTCCGTTGATTGTGAATTGATTATATTCGTTCCTAACAATATGCCATTTATTAAATTTGATTGCAAAAGGATTCATGTAGCTAAAGGCAGTCGTGTTTTCTCAAATGAAACGTTATATATCGAATTTCTCAATAATGAATGAATCAATTTTAAAAGAGCTCGGAGTGTTGATAAATGATCAAGAATCCTTTCAAATTATGCACCAACTCATATGTTATTGAAAAATATATAAGGAATAGCTGCTGCCTACGGCGATACATTGAATTTATTGGAGCCTCTGGAGACACCCTACATTTTGTTTTATAAGAGAGAGGACATTGTTAGATCAAGATCTTCAGATGATGTGGTGCTGCAGGTTCTTCCGGGTTTTCCTGCAGCTGAAAAAGCAAATGCGCCACTGGAATCAATGAAGTCGCCCCGGAGCGCCAATTAATTTTTATTGTTGTTTTTATTTCATTTTTATCGTTGTTTCAATAAAATTCTAATAGTAACTATTACATAACTATTCGATCAAATGAATGAACATCATCTGCTATTACTAAATACAATAGTTTGTGAAACGATAATACATATATATGATGTACCCCAGAAGATTGTATTTATATGTACTCAGTGTTGCACTATCTTTGATATCAATGGGTAGTTTATTATATTGAATCAATCCTTTGTGAAATAGAGAATTCACGGTTTTTTGTAATTGGTTCTATTTACATAAAAGTTTGAACTTCCTCTGGTCTGGTAATTGTGAACTCGATTATTGAATGTGATAAATTGATTGAAATAAGGAGGTAACTGTCCTTTCAACATTTTATAAATAAAAATCATTGAGAAATAATATAATCGGGTTTTTAATGGGTTCCAATTCAATACAACTAACCTTGTATCAATTGGAGTGGATTTATTGCATTTGAGAATGATTCGCATTGCTCTATCCTGCAATTTTTGTAATGTTGCGATACTGTAAGAATCTAGTAACGATATTGGATAATGTTCGAAGTGAGGTTGGAATATAGTTTTATAGATTGTTGGCGTATTAGTGAAAGAATATTTTTTGAACTTATTTTGCTATAAACGTAATTGAAATGACTTTTGAAAGTGATAAAGTTATCCACTTTGAAGCCAAGATATTTTATTTCTTGCACTATATCGATGTTTTCACTATATATTGAAATATTTGTTATTTACGTTGATTTGGCTATGTTTATATTTCGAAGTTTGAAGTCTAGAAAATTTATAGTTTTTCACTTCCATCTCAAAAAAATAAAGGAGCGTGGGATTAGTTTTTTTTTTATGGAAAGACAAATTCAACATTTGCAAATCATCTTTTGACAGACGGGCAAGAGTTCAATCACAATTATGACTAAAGAAACTAGTATAATCACCTTTAAGTGCAATAAACCAGAAATTCATATGGAAAGTACACTAGTGGAAAATAATATCTCTACAAAATTCTTGGGAATTAATATAGATGAGTGTTCTCGGGGTGTCCACTCAGAATAGTATCAAAAGAACTAGGATTTCATACAGCAAAAAATGTTTATTCACCTAAGGTATGGCATAGCATTTTAGGGTGTATGCAGTAAACAGCTGTTTCAAAGTGGAATGATCCTTGTAAGCCACTGTTTTCAATGAATTGAATTTCAACTGTGACTTCATTGTTTTTTCTTGAATCAGTATGCCTCACACACAAGAACAAAGGTACCTTTACTTCTCCGCCTCACCACAGTACTAGACAAGCTTGCCAATTGAAGCTTCCTATCCCAACAAGTAGTCAAATCAAGAACTCAATTATATATAATGGAGTAAAAATGTATAACAAGTCACCTAAAAGTTCAACAGAATGTGTCACGCTACTATCTTTTAGGAGAAACTTGAAGGCAATTCTGGTCAAAAAGGCTTACTATACATTAGATGAATTTTTTGAGGGTAACCTAGACACTAATATTCATGTGTATATATGCATGTATATATACATATACAGGGTGTCCCTGGACTTCCTCTTTTCCTCTCGGGAATGTATAGATGGGGTCAAAATATCACCAGTACTTCATATAACTTTTTTTCCTAAAATCCTTCGTTACCAAGTAACGGACCCTCGAAGTTACAAAATGAAAAATGTTTTTCTTTGATAACTTTTCAAGTGAATATTCAAAATCATCCAAATTTTGGTAATTGACTAAACAAATGNTATTTATACATTTATACAAAAATTACTCAATCATAGTTTTACCTATGTACAAGATTACAGTTTAACAAATATACTGTTCTTCAACAGTGATCACTGCTGAATTGCTAACACAGTGATCACTGTTGAAGAAGCTACTGTGTTATCGAAACATGTCATGATATATTTTTCCAATAAAGTTTGTGGAGATCAAATCATGAGTTGTTGCTTATGAAAAAAATGTGTTATTCATTATTCTCCAGTCCTGAGTTGTTCCTAGATAGGTAATGAATTCATCATGTACATATAAATATAACAATAAAGTGTGTTTTTTTGAATACTTTGTTTTTTCTCAATTAGAGTTTTTATATTACATATTTTCGAACAATCTAGCTAGGGAAATTGATATAATTACACAGATAGGTCATAATAATGATTTCAACGCAGATACTATCCAGAAGTTAGTCAGAAAACAAAGCCGTAAATTCACTTACACATTAATATACCCTCAGGTCAAACAACCAGAAATCAAGAAATGGGTAACTCTTACATACTTTGAAAAAAGAACAGAGATATTTGAGTGTTTCTTCAGAAAAAATAATGTGGAAGTGGCATTCAGACTACATGCCAGATTATCTGATTTCCTTTTCCATGCCAAAGATAAGGTGGACAAGTTGGAGAAATCTGGAGTTTATAAGCTTAAGTGTCCGGAGTGTAATAGTGTTTATGTGGGACAATTTGGCTGAAATTTCCAAAAACGGTATGCTGTACATGAAGGTCCTTCAGACTGGGAAAAAAATGATTCGACGTTTTCAAACCATTCCTTGGTATGCAACCACAAGTTCCCAAATGTAAACGATACGGAAATTTTGCACTATGCAAGGAAGGGTTGCAAACTCAATTATTTAGAATCCTTGGAAATTTACAAGCATAACATTGCGGGTGCAACCTGTTAAATGATCAAATCGATTTAGTTTACTCACCGGTTTACAAATTAGCATATCCGCATTGTAACTAGTAAACAAAATTCAGGTACTCAATCAAGCCAAGTACCTCTATTAGTACCTACAGGGTTACTATATAAGGGCTAATGTAATCAACCATTGTTAGTTTAATAAGTTTGAAAATGTCCTTATAGGACGAAACTGCAATAACGTTAGTTACAAATAAAAGTGGTAAAAAACAGAAAGTTTCACTTCTCTTTTCTTCATCATGATAAATAACTTATCAATTTTTAAATGCAAGCATTTCATTTGTCTCTCTCGGTACGAAAGTGATGTGTCAAGCCAGCATCAGTACAGTAACCAGAATTGCTTGTATTAAAACACGAGGAGAATAGCATTGGCAATTTTGATACATATTTCAACAAATAATCTTTGATTTGGTGTTCTCTCACTACTTATTTTCACAAATTCCATCCGTTATGACGGAATGAAAAGTTGAAAATGGAAGAGGAATCAAATCATTTGTTTGTTTTATGATCTATATGAATGAAATAATGACCACATTCACATGAGCATATAACATCTGTTGTTATAATAATCAAGATTCTAACATCCACTTTCAGGGAAGTATTTATAGGTATCCAGTGTAACTGACCATCTACTTTTATGAAACCTGTCCCTGATGATCATCGTTGCCAACATAACACATTTGACTACCTTTTCCCAATTTTGGCATATATGCTGTTGGAAAGTTGATTTTTTTATATATTAAAAAATTTTAGGAAACACCTTTTGTGATGGCAGGAATAATTTCCTTTTGGACCATAGATAGATAATTTTATTAATCTCCATAAATCATTTATATGACATGAGATAAGTCCAATGGTAGTCATAAAGATAAGATAACTATAATAGTTTGAATAGTCAGCTATTTACACATAACAACATCAAGTAATTGATGGAGCATACAATATACAAATATAAGTCCAGAGTTGGATGCCAACTATTTACAAAACTTGTTGAAAATATAAAATAAAATGTACATATAAAACATATATTAAAAGTGTTCAAAATTTCTCTATAGGTCATTGGATGTAGTTCTAATGTTCAACTCAATGTATTCAGTTAATGAATAAAAGGAGTGATGGAGCAAAAAATTCTTTAGGTCGGATTTGAAATTTTTTTCCTAATTGTATGCATTCAGGAAGCAGGTTATTAAAGTAGCCTCAAGCATACAGAGGAGATTTTGTGTATCATGTTTTGTTGAATTGATTTAAGTGTATGTTGTTTTTATATCTAATATTATGCTCGTAAAGATCACTATTTTTTGTAAATTTATCTTTATTATTAAATGTATAAATTAATAACTTATATAGGTAAACACACAGGAACGTTAGAATATTTTCCTGTTTGGAAGTATTTCTACAAGATTCGTTATGATCCATGCCAAAAATGAGTCTTATAAATCGTTTTTGTAAAATGAACACTCGTGATACTTCAGTTGACCTACCCCATGTAATGATGTTACAGATGATTGCCGTGTAAACAAGAGCGTAATACATGTTGATCAAGTGGTTTCTGTCAAAGTTCGATTTGAGACTAGTAAAAGCATAATACAGCTTATTCAGTTTTTTACATATGTTATCAATTCGGTTGTTGAAGGTTAATTTGTAATCCAGCTTCATACCAAGGAATTTCGTGCTTTTAGATGCTAAGATATCAGTGTGGCCTAAGTTGAACTTCATGTTGTTGAAGTGTTTGTGAGGACTACTGAATTGGATAAGGACCATTTTTTCCATATTATTATTGATGTGATTTTCCTCACACCATTGAGTGAAGTTTTTCACTACTAGTTGTATATCTAGTATCCACAATTGTCTTCGGTTGATAACTGCTCAATATAATTGCTATTTTTCAGCTAATCTTTTTAATTTTTATAGAATCTTTCAGGGATTTCAAATCGATTTATATCATATTAGACAATGGAAGTCCGAACTAATGAAATGCACCACGAAACATTGTCAACCACCTTCAAACAAACACTTAGAGGAATTTCATGTCAGTGAATCATTACACCTCTCAAAGTAGGTGTTTCAGGGAACAATGAATCTGGTTTGATAACACTAATCCTCTTTTTAAAAATGTTAGCTTTTACAAATGCATTTATATAGTTTTATAAACATCGATTTGTTGAAAATCCTCTTTCAAGATGCGTGGCCAACAGCAAACTACTAATTAGTATGTTTCTTATATACTTTTGTGATAACCCCACGAATTTTTTGGTGAACATGTTCTATACAAAACAGAGTCTTTGGATGAAATAAATGATTATAATTCTGATGTATTTTGTTTTTAGCTACAGCTAATATTTTAGAAAATTTATTCATTACATCATATCCAGACAATCTTCATTCGATATAAAAACATTCAAAAGTGTTCTTGACAAATAGTTCATTTACACTTTAAGAAGAATTATTGTAAATATTCATTTTAACAACTCAGGTTAGTTTTTACAATATTTTAAAGTTTGAGTTACGTTTTTCCAGTAAACATGAATTTGAAGCCAAAAGTTGGCGTTTCAATCCACATTTAGAAATCTGGCACTCAAAAGAATCGAAAAATCAAGTTATTTCAGGAATTCCCTTTCAGTACTAAAATCTTGTAGAATGACACCTTTTCATGCTGCAGAGCTTTATTTACTTGTCACTCCCATTTTTTGCACACAAAACTTTCAATTTCTATCAGAACAATGATATTAATTATTTTTTTTTAGCATTATTACAAAAATTAAGCTAGAAATGAATCTGATGTTGAATTTATTCAGTTATCAAAAAGATCATGCAACCACTTAGAATATGCTTTCTATAATTAATTCCAAGTGTCTATTGGTCTTTTACTTAAAAGGAAACTGAACTGACAACGAATTATCATCCAGAAGTTAACACTGTACTTCACTATAGTGAAGTACAGAAATCATGTACAGCCCTACTCCAAAAAAGGGTAATTTTGAAGAAATACTTTGTGAATAAAGGTCCACAGCACACAATCATGAGAAAGGTGATATTTTGGAGATTCTAGTACCAGAAATGAGTTCCTGAAATAGTTGATTTTTTGACAATTTTTACTTTTGAATGGCCGTATTTCAGAAAGCAAATCGGATTTGTAACCAGCGGACAAAAATATGGAAATCCAATAATTTTTTCATCAAACCAGCGCAAACCTGTTGAAAGAAATATTTACAAAGAACTTTTCTTTTCAGATTGTTCCGAGGTACTATTGTCAAATCAATTATTAGAAAAAATAAGGCTTAATTACATGTCCAAAACTTCAATAAGAAAAATGTTACATAGCTTCACTGCAGAAATGCCATCCAAAGTTATTATGGAAGCTGAACACATTTTCACTCGATATCTATCTACGACCTCTTCCTCTACCTCTTCCTCTTGGCCCACCACGTCCACGACCCCTACCTCGACCTCTTGCAGCCCCTCTTGCCGATTCCTTCTTTTTGGCTTTAGCTTTAGGAGTGTCATCTATCAATAAAGTTTCCAAAGGTAAACTATCTGGCAATATGTAATATCTAATATTGTTTCCTCTAACTGTGAGTGTGTCCAGAGTTATGGGATTGCGATTTTTAACAGTCATCTTAACGGCTTTTAAATGTGTATTCATTGCAACATCCACTCCAGTTATGGTGCCATGGATTTGAGTGCCGTTCTTAAGTTCCATTGTGACCGTTTCGTGGCTCAATTTCATGAGAAACCTGAAAAATGCCGGATTTTAAGGTTAAGATTTGTGAAAAATTGCAAGCAAATGCATTCTACGAGTAAATTAGGCTCGTATTGGATGTTACTTTCAAATTACTTTACTAACCTAACCAGTTTCATTTTGAAATTGAAATTTTTAAGCAATTAGATTTCAAACTTTTGTATTTCAAATTTCAACTTTTACTATACCATAGATATGTTTTCTGTATGATCTTGACTTGATGATAGCGTTTTCCATTGGTAAAACCAGTGTTGCCATAAGTCTTTTTCTTTCCTATTATGGCCTAAGCTGTCAGGGTTATCTGGCAAGAGGTTCTATTTCTATTACCTATGTTATTTCTATGAATGAAGCCCACAATAAAGGGTTGCACCCACACCCCATCTAGACTGTACACTTCTGCATATAAGCACTTCCGTAGTTTGAAGCACTACCGATATGTGGAAAGCACTACGATTAATAGAAGTAGTCGAAGCACCAAAAGCACTCATTCACAGTTCATTATAGTTTTTGTTAGATGTGGAGAATAATTGGGAGATGACCTGTATATTCGGTAAGGAAGTGTGTTTAAACAAAATGTCATGGGGGGAGAGAGGTATTATTTATTAAGGGCGGAATGATAATAGAGGAAAGAAAAGTTTGAATATCATGCAAATTATTGGAGAAGGGAAAAAATTTATGCATTTGAGTCCGATTTTCGCCACATTCGTCATCTACGATCCTAATAATCTTATGTAGATGTGCTTCACTAAGGAAAATATTGCTCCTGATTCTGCACATGCTGAAGCAGATTCACAAGTCTATGAAACATGGTATTGTTGATTGTAGGTCGAAATACAGACAGATAAAGTAAAATGTGGCTTTTATAAGACCCTCTTCTTCATATTGATTGAACCAGTCTTTTCAGAGATTGTTTTCGAGTTTTTTTGTTTATAATATGCCTGAGGACGATTTGAAAATATTTGTTTTCTTCCCACATTAGCTTGGTTGTCTGAAGCATCGTTACCCTTTATGTTGGAATGATTAAAAATTCATGCCATGCCAAATGCTGCTTATCTTAATCTGTTCAAACAAATACTTTCTATGTCAGGATCAGAGTGGAAGGAGCAGCTCTCCACCATATTCGACACAGAGACCTCATTAGGTTTATTCCCTGTCGTACATTCGCACATAGCATAATAATGTGAGATCGTCATGAAAATTGATGATGAAAAATAATATACCTCTTATTTTCAAGAAATTATATTATTATTGATTGATATATTATTATGATCGCGTGAGTCTCACATGTTTATTTGTGAAATAGATTGACTCGCATTAGTAGCAAGTTAGGTTAGGTTAGGTTAGTAGTTGAGAGTAAAAAAGTTTAGGATTCTCTCTATAGGGTCACATTAATATTATTAATATTTTTTTCAGTGTCGCTTCCTACACATGAAAGTGCGAAATCATCAGCATACCTGAATACCTGTTCTTCAACTAAAGGTTTCATCAGGTCGCTGGTATATATAAGGATCATTGGTGATCCTTGTGGAAGCCCTCTTCCGGCAAATTCGGGACTAGAAATCCACTTTGAGGTTGGATCTTCTATGTAGATTTGTCAATAAGTGAAGAGATTTACTATCAATAGTGCGAGATTTTTTGGAATTGAATACTGCACCATTTTTTTATTATTTCAGATATAATTGCATGCTCATATTATGATGATTTGATATCTAATAAGACTATTACCACATTGTGATCTGAGGCTGAATTCGATGCTATGATGAATATATTGCAGTAAGATTTTCCGTTGAACCCCTGCCATGTTGAAAATCTAACAGCAACGGATTTAGAAAAACGTACTGTTCCATATGTTGATCCCATCTGCTAGAACTAGACAGATTTTCGCAGCATCTATGACAGTTCACTTCTAATTACAATTCTTCTTTGTATTTATTAGGTGTGTTTTCTGCGCACTAATTGTTTTCCAGATCTGCTATTCCCGCTAAAAAATCGTATAACTTTTGGCGAGAATAACTTAATCTGGGAACCAACAAAACACACTATTGATACTCCAAAACAAGGTATGTTCAGTGTAGACTATTTTCGATCAGGAATAATTGAAATGTATGTAATAGTATATTATGCAACGATCATGTAATGATGGTTATTAAGACACGAGCATTAACCGGGATACGAAACGAGCCGAAGGCGAGTTTTGTGTTTTGTATGGTATATGCGAGTGTATATGCGATAAATAATGAAAAACTATAAAGATTATATTTGTATTGAACACATTTACAATAATTAACTCAAATTAAAAAAAAAAACACAAACTTAATGGTATTATCATGGATATATGAAAACTATAAAGATTCTAATTATATTTATATTGAAATAACAACTGTAATTAATCTAATCTTTTAAAAATATTGGAGTCGATGGTATTCCTTCTACATCGCTGTTTTCAGACATTTTGATAATATAGGTAGGTAATATGAAAACTGATTTTGACAAATAAAGCAATTAGTTACTTAGGTTAGAATCTAGGACAAACAAAGGAACAGGATTCTTGATTGAAAAATTATGGGTTTCTATTGGTTGATAATCTGTATCGTTATGAAAAATCTGTATCATAATGGATATCATTATGAAACGGATTATGGTCATATAAGTGTATTGTTAGAGTACGGGTGTAGAAAAAGAAATTTATTTCACTGTTGAATATTTTTAAACCTAAGTAAATTTTTTTGTCTTCAACTTTTCATTGTGGAATTACCAGAATTACTAAAATGGAAAAATGCGCAGAGCGGTTATAATAAAAAGTACACCGCCATTTTTTATCTCAAAAAAATTGAAAATAAAAATTTTCATATGATACTAATTGGTAACTATTGAGTGGATGTACTTAGCATAAGTATATATATAAGTGGAAAGAATGGATAATGATTCCACATGTATACCCTAGAAAATAACTGAATTATTATAATTTCAATAATTTTGTAAAATAAAGGTTTTGGCTTTATACTTATCCATCTTCATACAAAAAAGGTGGGAATCTTCCAAAGAAAAGAAGTAAACAATTAATTTCAAAATAGACTCTTTACAAAGAAGTGTAGATCATGCAAACACAAACTGGAAGAAAAATCTCTCTCGATTTTTCAAGACAACTACTTTTATATGAACATTGTTTTATACAAAAAACACTTTTTCGTATATAGTTTGTATTCCAAACATTCGTTATAGAATTGAATCAAATATTCACAGGATTGCTACACAATATAGTAAATGAGAGAGGTAATTCCACTTACATTGAATTCTGTCATCCTCACTGGTAGACATCCGATGTTTCGCCGTGAGACACTTGCCGTAACGGCTCTTCAGTACCAAATCTGGATAACATTACACTGAATTCATTCATAAAATTACGATATTATGTCACGAATCAGTTAAATCTACTCATGTCATCAATGACAGTACGTAATGACATTCATTTGTTTGATCCCAGCCATAAGAATCTTACTCAATTGTCGATTACTAGCGAGCCGCCCCGGCTCCGCACAGGTGCGATGCTAATACTAAATATAAATATAAACGCGTGCGATCGCTGTTTATTATTAAGTGCTATAGGGTGAAGCGCGGCCTTCGACGCGCTATTTATAGGCATGCGCCGCCGGCCCCTCGGCCGGTACCACCGCAACCGCTATGCCCCTGCATTTTAAATCTGTAATATCTTCGAAAATATTGATTTAAATTACATTACAAAATCGCTTCGTAAATTAGCCATTATTTCTCGAGGATAAAAAATGGTTATTGTGGGTTATCCCTAAGAGATAGACATATACCATCATGCACTTTTTTGTAGACCTTTTCAAGGTGTACTGTAGTAAATTTTTTGATCTATCTCGTAGGGTTCAGCCAGCGTTTGCAATGTAAGCTCAAAAAAATGTTTATTTACGACATCACATTAGAAACCTCTAAAATTATCAGTGTTTCTCTACTTTTATTACATATTATACATTACATATAATCCTTTCTCTAAAATCACTCTATCTATTAAAAAACCTGCATCAAAATTCGTTGAGTAGTTTTAAAGATGTAAGCATACATATATTATGTAGTGATTAAAGTTGTTCAATAACGTATTATCTAAAATACATTACAATTCATATATCTGGTAGACTTAGAATTTTCAATGTTACCTATGATGAAAATTTCACTATTTATTTATTCATTTCATTTATGTTTCAAGTAATAACCCATATATTTTCAGCCTTGAGAATGATTTTAAAAAATGTTGGCAATCAAACAAATTTAAAAATTTCACTTCACTGTATTCTTTTCACTATACATACCCATAGTCCATATAAATAAAAATATAGTCTAACACAACTAGAAATACAAATCAATTCAAAGAACTAAGATTATAAAAAAAGGAAAGAAAAAAAAACACACATCAAAAGTGCTGCTTCGTTCCCTCCTGTTCATATAAGAGGACATATACCTCATTGCTCACAAGTGATTTTGGCAAAATTGGGAACACGTGTGAATCGTTGTATTCATGCCATGTGCCACTATATGGGTGTCTGCAATATGCTGTGTAATGTCCGTTGTAAGTAGTTCCACTGTGGTTTGAAAGTGCTTATAGATTATAATGACAAGGAGCCACATTGTCTGCTGCATAACTGCTCATATCTAATCCATCTAAAGAAAAGTCAATGGAAACATTCAATTTACCTCTGAACCTTTCCGTCGTAGAGAATCTTTTCAAATGAATTACTAAAATACGGGAAAACATATAGATTGATAAGGACTTTGTACATTTTCTCCTTTGCTTGCACCTCGAACACATTGGTTTTTCATCTCCATCCAGAGTTTCCTCTCTTGTGAAAGAATCCAAGCAATGTGATAAACTCACTTGGCCAGATCTTTGTGGTATGGGAAGGGACAAATCCCAGAAAGGATCAAAGATTACTGATGAGTGTCCACAGTGTGTGCACTTCATAGTGGATTTTAATTGACCAACGAAATAGTCTACAATCTTGGAGTTGTTCATATTTTAATATCTCTGCCAGGACTCTTGTGCTTTTCCGTTATCGCTCAATTTTTCGTCAATCTCAGTAAAGATTGGTTCAGGTTTCTCAGTGATTTTGTTGAGGTCCTCATGTAAACCTTCTAAAAGATATCGAAGGAATTCGTGGGCGTCTTGACGGGCAGAACCCATGTATCGAGGGACAAATCTTTGAATCTGATTTTTGAAGTAGACTGTGTTAATTACTCTATTAGATGAATCTTCTGACCATAATTCCTTGATAACTTCTGCGAACGATTTGATTAAAACACCTATCATACTAGAAATACTAGTATTGATATCTTCCATGTATGCATCCTTTTTTAGGTATTCCAGCAACCATCCCGTTTTTTATAAACATTGGATTATATAACAATAAACTTACAAAACATGTCCGGATGCTTCCAATGAAAATTAATGATTCAACCTCTTATGACTCAACACTGGTGCAACAGTTTTATCATGAATGATAATATTACTATAATTGTACAAAACAACCCGATGTTATACTTGAAGAATATCGCAACACCTTCTACCTTCTTCTCTATACTTACGGATATCTATAAAATGAAAGAAATTTTTGGTGAAATCAAAAATAAAAATTCTGTGGTGGAATGGTATTTCCTTAAAATTACTGATAATCCTTCCCCACAGGGCTTTCGAGTGTGTTGGCAGAGGCAATAAATTTCTCAATCTCCAAAGGTATGTTCCCATCATGTCTGAAAATTGCCACAATCATTCTTCTACATAAAGGAGGCGCGATCTGGACAACCCAGCTAATTTTAGGCCAATTGCCTTGTCTAGAGTTAAAGAAAAACTGGTAAAAAAACGAGTAATATCCTTCCTGGTGAAGAACAAACTAACGAATTTATTCCAGTTTGGCTTTCAGTCTTCAAAAGGTACACAAGACTCTATGTTTTCACTCCTGGAAAACCTGTACACCAATCTTAATGAAAGAGAATCTGTGGGGTCCATGTTTTGTGACCTATTCAAGGCCTTCGATTGTGTAGACCACATGCTACTTCTTCGCAAGCTATAAGTTAACGGATTTAGAGGATCTGCATTACTTTAGTTTGAGACATAGTTCTCCCATCGGCGGCAGAAGGTTCTACTAGATGGAATTTCATCAGAGGAACGTTTTATTGGCTGTGGTGTCCCACAAGGTTCCGTTTTGGAACCGGTGTTGTTTCTCATTTATGTCAATGACTTAGTCCGTGTTGACATAACTGGTAAATTCACATGTTTCACTGACAACACCATTATCCTCTGATATAGCAATACCGCCTCAAACTTATTTCAACATAAAAAGGGTGAAAGAGTGGTGCGATTCCAATCTTTCATCATTCAACAATGACAAAACAAATGTGTCACGTTTACTTATGTAAAATACTTGTAGCAGAATGCCATGCAGTGAGAGTTGTTGCAAAAGAGTTAGATACTGCTATTACAAGATCAGTTTATTTTGCACAAATTGAAGTCCTATTTTCGTTATGGAATTTGCTTCTGGGGAAATTGTGCATAATTTCAATTCAATATGGTATTCTCTCTACAAAAAAGATCTATCAGATATTTATGCAAGGCTAGCTACAGGTATTCATGCCACCCTTTACTTGTGAACCAAACAATTCCGACCTCACTGGAAACAGTGCGTCTTATACACAAAAATATAAAAATAATTTTAATACCACCTCAACTTATAGTACACGTCAGTCTTACTTAATTTCACTTCCAACACCTACTCTTACACAAAATTCTATTATTTTCAGTAGCAAGAAGTTATTTAATTACCTTTCCATTAATACAAGGCGAATACATAATGAAAAGTAATTCAGATGAAAGTAAAGGAATTCGTTGTTGTGAGGCCCTATTATAGTGTGAAGAAATTCTACCAAGGCTCTATCGGGTACTTGGCATGTAGCTTTGTGCAAACAAGTTATTGAAATCAACACGAAATGCTATCAATGTTCATTACGTAGCATTATATATTTACATTTACTAAATATTAATGGACTTATATTTGTATCTGTTTAATTTCAATTCAATATGGTATTCTCTCTACAAAAAAGATCTATCAGATATTTATGCAAGGCTAGCTACAGGTATTCATGCCACCCTTTACTTGTGAACCAAACAATTCCGACCTCAGTATGTCTTTTTATTTTGGAAACAGTGCGTCTTATACACAAAAAATATAAAAATAATTTTAATACCACCTCAACTTATAGTACATGTCAGTCTTACTTAATTTCACTTCCAACACCTACTCTTACACAAAATTCTATTATTTTCAGTAGCAAGAAGTTATTTAATTACCTTTCCATTAATTCAAGGCGAATACATAATGAAAAGAAATTCAGAAGAAAGTAAAGGAATTCGTTGTTGTGAGGCCCTATTATAGTGTGAAGAAATTCTACCAAGGCTCTATCGGGTACTTGGCATGTAGCTTTGTGCAAACAAGTTATTGAAATCAACACGAAATGCTATCAATGTTCATTACGTAGCATTATATATTTACATTTACTAAATATTAATGGACTTATATTTGTATCTGTTCAGCTGGGCCTAATATTGTTCTGTCCATATACTTTTATAAACTACACCTCCCAATTTGATTTCCACAAACTTCATTTTTTATCTGTGAAGATCAAATCGTGAGGTGTAGTTTATGAAATTACTATGGATCTTCATCAAGTAATGGCCGAAAAACTGTCCATATATGCTGCTCTCGTCTCTAAGCATTATTTTATAACTTGTATTTGTTAATTTAATGTCCCATATACACGTTTTATTTTACTAGACTTTGCCAATAAGATGTTCAAGTCTTGGGTAATAAAGCATATTTCGATTTGATTCAGTATTATATTCCAATTAAAAAAACCGTCAAGAAAAGCAGTTTCATATATTCTGGGCTTTTCACTTTCATGCAGAATGTAAACCATCTAATCTAAGGGTGACTTTATGCACCAATCTTGAGACTTTCAGTCCACTGAAAATCAATGATCAACTGCTTATGATTTTTCACCACTAGGTTCATAAATCCACACATTGTAATCCACAATTTTGTAAGGAAAATTCCTGCGATATACTTACTAGTTTATCTTGAACTTTTAGAGTGGATTCACACACCCAGCCTTAAGTAATTGTAAGCAATGTGATTGAATTGGCCTACACTTGAAGAAAATCCATAACTTATTGTGACATTTCCACTAGTCTGTCAAGTGTTACTTGAATAATCGTGAGTAGTTAGAGATAGTTGATATTTTTACTGTCTATAACCTTGATAAGATCTTCGTGTCACTTTTATGGTAAGAAGCACAACATTATTCAAGTGAAAACTTAAAACATTTATTCAACTATTCTTTCAGTAGAAATACAATAGTTCAGAGAAAGTTCACACTGGCAGAGTTGGATATTGGTTTAGTATAAATTATTATTATATATCTCTCTTGTAGATTGCTTAGAGGAATTATTACAGCTTGTCAATGTTTCTCAGTTTGCATAAACTTATAAAGATTTTAAATAATTTTTCTACCTCGGCAAACAATTAAGAACTATTCCTTGACTATTCTAAGGATATTTTGGATGATTTTTGATAGGGCACTTTGTTTCGAAGATACGGGGCGAAAAATAAATTCGACAATAACAATTTTGGTAATTTTGAAATTATTAACGTAGCCAAAATAAAAGTATAGCGTACTACACTAGACCTACCAAGAAATAAAAAAACCAACAATTCTGTTGGTAGCTATCTATCAACAACATTCCGATTACTACAAATGGCTGCAAACATTCAATTTGAATAGTATATCTCGTAAGTGATCCTGGTGTTTTTTAAAGAGATCAGGAATTGATGAGAAGAAGATTGGATTCTTGAATCGGAGCGGGGTACTTATTTTCAACAGTTCTTGTAGATCAAGAAACATTACATGTAATTTTTGGCAATTAACAACCAATTGAAATGATAATGAGAAAAGTTTTTAGAATTTTTCTGCACCTGATAGAAAACAAGTACAACTGACTAAGTCACTAAAAAAATAATTGGCAACCTTTCAACAATAAATCAACTTAAATGGAGAAGCTTTTCAATAAAGTTAAAAAAGCGCTAACTTGAATCAAAAAGACAATTTGAGCGTACTATAACATAAATCAATCTCCAACTGAGCACTACTACAAATCAAATGCGATGTTTTTCAAACTCTTGATAGAAGAGTGTTGAAGCATGAATTCATTGCTTATGAGTCATAGCCAATAAGAAAATCAACAATCACTACTCATAAATTTTCAATGAAAACATTCGTGCACGAATATAGATATCTTATATATACTCACTTATATTTTATAAGCTCAAGTGTATTATTATGTGAAACATATTCTCAAGACTGGTACAAGAATCAACCCTTGATATTACTGGACTATTATCTGATTCATTACAATGGAGGGGTTCAGTTGAATGACCAGAAGAAACATTCTCAACTGTCCTTAACTTTTATTCAAATGAACACTATTACATTTATTTGTGAGTAGCCTGTTTACGCATTTGAGTAAGGATGTTTGAAAGTTCTTCACGCTTCCTCTTGGCACGGATGTGCGTGCCAAGACGTCTCTTGAGGAACTTAAGTGCCCTTTTATCTTTCGAAACCTTCAACAATTCCATGGCTCTCTTCTCATAAGGGGCATGACCTACAACTTCTCGGATAATATCACGAACGAACTTTGTGTGCTTTGTTTGGATCCCCTTCAACCTCGCGGGACGAACTTTGTTGATCTTTTTGTCGATTTTTGTGGTTTTGTGTCCCCTTTGGAGCCCAACGGCGATTTCGTACCTTGGGGCCATCTGGAGAGAAAATGAAGGTTAGAATTTTTTTATTGAAATTAAAGTCTTCATCAACTGAAGGATGGATACCGATTAGATTATTCATACTACAAATAGACGGGATTCCTAAAGAAACATACCTTGTTTTAAACAATTCAGCAAACACACGTGTTAGCCCTGTTATTCCAACAACAGCAAAAATGAAAAGAGGTATGACAAATGACAACTGACAACACTAATGACAGAAACAAATGGTTAATGGTTGGCGTTTCCGATTTCAATTATTTATGACTTTCGATTGGCATTGGCTATAAAAAACACGGACCAAGTCTCTTTAATTTATTTCCTTATTTTTTTTTAGTATTACCAATTTTGAACTGAATGGATATATTTGATCCTTCAAAATTATATTCCAGGTAATAATTTTTCAATATTGTTCAATATTAGAGGGAGAGAGTTGATATAAGGACATTGAAATAATTCAATAACGAAAAGTATAACACAAAGTGTCAAGAATAAGTCTCTTGTAGTCAATGATACAAAACAATTTTCGTATTTATTTTTTAACCTCAACAAGTACCTTATGTAAATAAAACCGAGAACTGGATACGGATATTAAAGCTATCTACAATGAGGTCCAAGAGAAAAAAATACGTATTTTAATGACTACAATTCTATCAAAAAAACTTTTTTGAAATGCCGTCGTCCCCATTTTCTCAGTAAAGCTTATTTTTTGATTCAGAATGAGACATGAAGTTGACAAAAGAAACGAAAGTTTCCAAAAATACTTCATCTTTCTGGTAAGTCAGTCAAAACAATTACAAAATTTTTGTGCAGATTGAATTTTTTTTCTTCTGAGATAGATTGCCTTGCCAACTCGTAATCATCGCACCCGATAAACCATTTGGTAAAGATATGTTGATCATTTATAAATTTGGTGGCCTTCATTGTGATCCTTACCAGAATAAAAAATAATCATCGGTTAATATTCGTATTCGATTTTCAACTGCAGGGAAAATTTTGAGGATTAATTCATGACTCCGCTTTGAAAATTGAGTTTTTGCGAAACAAGTTATCCTGCCTTATGGGAAAGAATATACGAGTAGCTGAACATTTGTTAATGACAATAATTTTACTTGAAAAAAGCCAAGTTTGATCATACATTTGAAACGTTTCGATTTCAAAGTCAAAATGTTGGAACTAACAATGATTCTGTTGTTAGTCTACCATAATCTAGCAACACTTTGGCGTTTGAAGTTTTATGGAATTCCACTTTTTGGAAAAAACATATCTACCTCAACTTAAGACTGATATAATTTTAAAGATCATTATTGCTTGGTCCTGATTGGCGAAGGTTCTACTGGTGAGAACGTTATCGAAGTGCTTGAAAAGCTGGTAGTCGGTTAACGAGAGGTCTGAGGAGTATGGTAGGTGGGGCAGAACTTCGACGTTCAATTCGTTAAAATTCCAGACAGTGATTTGTAAAACGTGCATACGAGCGTTGTCGTGGAGTTGAATCGGATCTCTTCTGTTGACCAGTGCTGGCTGCTACTGACGCCATTTTTGGTACATTTCGTTCTCACAATGGGGTTGCTGTGATGATTTGGCCCAGTTGCAGGAAATTATAGTGAATCACACCAGCCGCTGACCACCAAACAGTAACCATGTTTTTTTATGGTAGATTCACACCTTTGGGAAGTGCCTGGGTGGCTTATCGGTGTTCAACCTCTGTCCTGAACGTCTCCTGTTGTAAAGGATCCACTTTTCATCACACATATGATAGGTTCTAAAATAGGACCGTACGGTTGCTCAAAAGCAAAGAGGAACAGTCTCAAACCGTGATAATTTCTGTCGATCGTTAAAATATACATGCAGGTGGTAAAATGGAAAAATAGTTTCAACAAAGTGAAATAAAATAATAATAAGTTGAATTTCTAAAACTTGCTAGCCAAAACTCTTATTGCAACTCCAATACGAAAAGAATTCTTTCATTTTCGAAACCGGTCCTGATGGAATTCCTCCAACTTTTCTTAAATCATTATCTTTATTTTAGGTCGACCGCTTTTCTATATACTTAATAATTCCCTATCATCTGGCAAATTCTCGGACTATTGGAAAACCTCATATGTCATCCCAATATATATAAATCAGGTCGAAAATCCGACGTGTGTAATTATCTTCCAATTTCTATTCTTAGCGCAATCCCTAAAGTTTTTGAGAGCATCATTTTTGATTATCTTACTTATGACTTACTTATAGGTATCGAACAATTCGGATTTACATCCAAAAAGTCAGCTGAACTGGGTCTAATTACCTACGTTGATTTTCTGTCTGAAGCTCTGTCTGAGGGTTTGCGAGTTGACTCTGTGTATACTGATTTCTCCATAGCTTTTGACAAAGTTAATCATGAGCTATTGATCCATAAACTTTGTTTGTATGGTGTTGATGGGCAAATATTGCAGTGGCTCAAGAGCTATCTTACAGAGTTAATCATCATTTTTCTCATACCATCGCAGTTACATCGGGTGTTCCACAAGGTTTACATTTGGGACCACTGTTGTTTAACCTTTTTATCAACGATCTAATCAGCTGTTTCCATGAAAGCGAAGCTTTGCTATATGCCGACGATTTGAAATGTTTCAAAATAATTAAAAGTGAAGCTGATACATTGTGTCTACAAAACGATATAGATTGCCTATCCAACTGGTGCACGCAAAATGGTATGTGTTTGAATGCATTCAAATGCCAAATTCTTCGCTTTCATCGAACACATCACCCAATCATTTTTGAATATAGTATAAATAATCTGACCTTACATTCTGCTACTGAAACCAAAGATCTCGGTGTGATCCTAGACTCCACACTTAGCTATAAATCACACGTTTCCGCTGTAATTCAAAAATATATGAAGATGCTTGGCTTTATAAAGAGAACCGCTCGTGATTTCATCAACATCACTGCTATTAAATCTCTTTATTTTTCCCTGGTTAGATCTCATCTCGATTGTTGTTCCATAGTTTGGTCCCCTCACTACGATACACAAAAAAAGAAACTCGAGACCGTACAGCACAATTTCCTGCGATATTTGTTTGAAGGTGATTGACAATGTTTCATGATGAATTTCACTGGTTCGGACTTCCATTGTCTACTTTATAAAATGATTTGAAATCCCTGAAACAACTAAAAAAGACGAATTGAAAATGAATAGCTGAAAATAACAATTATATTAACCAAAATAAACCTGAAATGAAATAATAGTGAAATAAAATACAAGTGAAATAAAATACGGGTGATGACTGAGTCATCACCCAAAGACGACTGTAGATACTAACAATCGAAACGTCGTGAACTAACGTGACTTGGAATCTCTCCACTTTTTATTTTTATTTTCTTTTTTCATTTCTTTATTTTTATTTATTCAATTGTTCTTTTTTTACTTGTATTTTATTTCACTATTATTTCATTTCAGGTTTATTTTGGTTAATATAATTGTTATTTTCAGCTATTCATTTTTAATTCTTTTTTTTTAGTTGTTTCAGGGATTTCAAATCATTTTATATAGTAGACAATGGAAGTCCGAACTAGTGAAATTCTTCGTGCGATATATTGCCTTCAAGATGCCTATGACTATACTGCATTGGAATGCATTTTGAACATACCTTCTCTTGAGACTCGCAGAAAACATAGAGATTCAATACTTCTATTCAAAAGTATCAACGGACTAAGTATCAGTCCCGAGCTTCTCTCCAAATTATATTTACATGTCCCCAATCGTTCAACTAGACAGGTGTAAACGTTTTACGTTTCTTTTCACAGATTCAATTATTCATATAGCGGCTTTATTCCCAGAACTCTTAGATTGGCTAACTCTTTAAACAACCTTCAAATCTTTAATATATCAGTATCCCGCTTTAAAAACCATATTCTTCATTCTCAAGTTTACTAATTATATTTAATATGAATTTCCACAAAATAAATAGGTCGTTAATAGAATATCATACATAATATCTACCTTTCAGGTACTATTACGTTTTTAATTGAAGAATAATGTTGGTTTTTTTGACAACAAGGTCAGATCCAGTAACAGTGCAATAGCCACGCCACTTTTTTGTATTAGGCGAACTTTTAAATTCAACAGAAAATTCTGATGGATTGCTCCAACCAATAGAAAGAAACGCCCTGTCTTTCGAGGATTTTATGAACTCGTCGTCACAGATTATAACTCGTCTATGCTGCAAATGCCTCTGTCAAAGTGACACGTGACACTAGCGGCAGGTGAGAAGTGACGTTGTTATTGTTTTGACGTTGATTTTTTGTATGATTGACGTGTTATTGAAATTTTGTCGATTATTCTTCCCAGTTTGTTCCTTTCTCCAGATTTTCCATTAAAAAAAAGATGGTTTACGTAAATAGTAAGTATTTCCCCATATGTTGTTATATTAGTTTCATACCATAAACTTTTATAGATGGACAGGTTCACCAGAGCCCTCCTTGGAATTTTCAAAGAATAATCAGATTATTTGATGGAATTATCATGTTCTTCGTTCTATTGTGAGTTGATATTTCTCTTCAACATATATTTAATTTTTTCATGCTAAATTTATTCTAATGAATTTTTTCTTTCTAGTTTCAAGTCCTTAGTGGGTATTGATAACATCTCTTCAGTTGAAGATCGTTCGGGAAGGTCTGGGACATTCAGAGGAAGTGGACGAGGTGGAGGTGGTGGTGGTGGAGGATGGGGTAGTGGTGGAGGAGGTGGAAGACCGTACGGGTTAGTATGCTCTGAACTTCGACATTATTAAATTACTCTTCAGTAATTATTCAATTCAACAGCTGGTACTAGTTTTCAAAAAATTTTTCCTTTGACTTCCTCAATCTGAAGTCACGTCCACCCAAAAGTCACAAAACTAAACATTTCAGCAAATCACTTGTGTTGTAAAACTGTTTTTTCTTTTTGTATAGATTGAAATAATGTACAAAAGCAGTATGACATTTATTACCAATTATTTGTACATTAACAACTGTCTTAATGACTGATCAAGAACTATCAGATTAAGAAAATGTACAGAGTATCCAAAACATTCAAGAAATGTCATTTTCAAATCAATTTACACCAACTTTTGATAATAAAAACTCATAAAATGATATATATTTTCATGATATCATTTAGGGCATTATTTCACAAAGGGGGTTATTTTGGTGAAACATTCAAAAAGGGCGAATAAAGAAGTGAGTTCCTGGAATAGTCGATTCTTTACAGTTTTGATTTGCTATTATTTGATAATGAACAACTTGGCTTTAGAAAAGGTATATCAACTGAAGTGAAATTGTTGAGTTTTTGGACAACATGACATGTATTACAGTTTAGAAGGAGATGATAAAGATTTTGGCATCTTTTCAGACTTTAACAAGGCATTTGACGTGCTTGACAAAAATGAGAGGTATTCCCCGGCAGTGGTTTTAGAGCTATCTAAATGACCGAGTGCAGTATATTGAAATTGATAATATTCTTCTTCTGAAACCCCATATTCCTGTTCCGATGCAGTGTCGCTATTCTCATATTGTAAATCAATACTCACATCATCCAGGATAATGTCTATCATGGGTTTATTGAACATGAAATCGTCCTCAAATTTCTTTACTCATTCACAATGAGATGAGGTGTTTTCTGTCGTTTAATTGTTTTCGAGTGTGTATTCAAAAAGACTCGTAGTGATGTCGTTGATAATAAGAATCGCCAGAATGAAATGATTCAATTTGTGTCAGATGTCAAATTCAATAATAAAAGCAAACTTCATTTTTCTCTAACCTCAATTAGAATTGGATATGTGCATACAATTTTTTACATGAATATTACAAATATAGCTGCATTTTTAAAACCAGTGTAACAGAATTCTCATTTCTATTCAAAATATGGACCAACAATAATTCTGAATTATAAAACACAAGACCTAAAATTAATGTGAGAAATTATATTGACGGTCTTCAGCCAGTTTTTTTAGTTTGTTTCTCGAGAGAAACAGCAAATTTGAAGTAAGTCTTCTAGGTGGGCGTTTGTTAATCTCGAACGATATTTGTTTTTCAAAAAATGCATCTCTGAGAATTATGTTTCACATATGTATGTCGAGCCAAACATAGTGGCCAAATTTATAGCTAGTTTCTTGCAATTTTCATATTTTTCTGGGACAAGTTTGGCACAAAATTCTTCAGTGGATACCGTTTTATACATTTGCAAAGACACATCTTGTAAATCAATTATCTCTATTTGAAGTGATGCCTTTGACAGATTAAACAACTTGGCAGCTACATCTGTCCATTCTGCTGCTACATCAACTTCAAATGGCAATTTAAGAAACGGATAGCTTGCCCATCCCTGCAAAGTCTTGGAATCTTGTAGCAAATTCATTCCTAAGATCGGCCAGAAATTTTACAAACACTGCAATGTCTTCTTCAGAGTTCTTTTTATATTCAGTCATTGTCGGAAAATGAATACATTTTTGTATTGCAATATCTTTTTCAAAGATATCCAGCTGGCGACGAAAAGCACACGCTTTGTATCAGATTACATATTTTTTCATTTCCTTGTAATTATGTGTTGAGCGCATTTGAATATTTCAACGTATCTGAATTTTGCAAGAAGAATGTTACTTCATTTATCAGCCAGAAACGTTCAATAACTTGACCTTTACTTAGCCAACGAGCATTGTGGTGTAGCAGTAAGTCAGAATACGCTGAATCACATTCAGAAAGAAACTCCATGAAATGTCTGTGCTGAAGAGCAGAATGAGATCTCATAAAATGAATCAACTTGACCAAGCTGTCCATCACTTTTTTCAGTGCAGCACTAAGTTTTCCAGAAAGGGCTTCCTCTCGAATTATGAACTGATACGATATTAAACCTGAGTTTTTATCCCTGATTCTCTTTACTACACACTACACCTTTTCCTTTGCCAATCATTGTTGGGGCCTCATCATTTGAAAGCGACACCATTTTATGATAACTAGCTACAGCAGATAAAATTTCCGTTTTTCGTATATTACTTCTCGCTGATAATGGAATACTTTGAAATGCAGCGACAACATCTTTTGATTCTTCAGAAAGTGCCGTGACTACTTCCAACATACATTTCTTCACCGTCTCAGAATCTGAAAATGGTTTCTGGTGTTTATTAAACGTCAAGCACACACGTAACGCTGCTTCTGTGGATTTTTCTTGCTCGCTCATGCAACAAACTAGTAAAATCGTGCATTTTTTGTAAGAACTGAGATATGCATGTGTTTTTCTTTACTAGCCTCACTGCCAAGGGGAAAGGTTTTGTGAAATTGTTGATGAGTTGTTTCGTAGTGTTACTTCAAATTGCCACTCTTAACAATAGCGATAGTTTTATTGCTTATAAGGCACACTGGAACCGCTTGAGGCCTATTAGGCAGCGTAAAACAATATCATTCCGTCCATTCTGCCAGAAACCTCCTATTTTCACTGTCCACTTGCTTTTTAGAATCCATTTTAGCATAGGTACCAAAATGTTATAAAAACCCAAAAAATCACAAAACAAATCAATGGTTTCTCCACGGTTTGCGCTGCGACTGATAGTCCGCTTGTGTCGCAAGTACACACACACAGGTTAGATAGGAAACTAATAAAATCATATCAGTTATAGGTACTCGTAAAACAGATGGAATAGGCAACTTGAAAAAAAAATAAGTACATACAAGTTGAATTCTATGTGGCTTAAAAATATTACTTTAATTGATGAAGGTATAGTATACCTTATCTATGTATTGATTTTTATACTTGGTATATAACACATTACAATATTTAGCGGTCCGAGGTTCAACCTTTCGCGGTCCGTTTGCGGACCGCCTGTTGCCGACCGTTGGTTTATAACAACCTACTCATTATTTTCAGTCCCGGAGGTGGCGGTGGTGGTGGTGGTGCAGGGGGGCCAAGATTCAAAACCATGCGAGATATCAACCCGCCAACAGTAGGAGGATGCGCAGGAGGCTCCTGTGGGATGTAACTCTTTTTGTGTATATTTTTGTTCAGGTGATTGTTGTATTTGGATCCAGTGATTGGTAATATATTGAAGAATAATCACTAATTTTATATAGTTGTTAAGATATTAAAGAATATTTAATACAAATGTTTAAATATATTGTCTTGAATGCGTCTCTGGCTCAGAATTTGAGGTTAATCTGACCGCCAGATGAGTCATCATATGTTTCCGTGAATATATAGCCGAATTTTTTGTTAGATTTTTTCCATCAAAACTATTTTCTAGTTAGTAAAATGGATTGCTGCTCAATGTTATCAAATAGTGAAATTTTGTAATATTGAGAGATGTAAATACCACTTCTAGTCATTAAATTTGTTAATAAACATACTTGGAGAAATCGAAGCCTAAACGGATGCATTTTCAATCGGCCATACACTGTTTGTCCAAGATAAAATCGAAGCCTAAACAGATGCATTTTCAATCGGCCATACACTGTTTGTCCAAGATAAGATCGTAAGAGGTGCAACTTCCAGTCTTTAGTTTTAGTTTGTATTTCTTACGATTGCAAATTTTCCCATGCTAACCTCCTTGTCTTGGACACACTGTATATCACGAGATACACTTTGCTGGGATACTATCAGTCAATCAATACATCAAATTTATTAATCATCGAAGTCCATACAAATGTTTGAAAGACACACAACATATAAACTTATCGGACTAGTCGTAACAGAACCGAACCTTCAACCATAACCTCTTACTTCAAAAGCTCAACAGATATGGTGTAGATGGGTACTACTGGAATGGATTAGTAGTTATCTTACGAATAGGACTCGAATGGTTAGAGCAAATTAACACTGCTTTACATTATTCGAAATAATCTCTGGTGTTCCTCAGGGGTCGCACGTTGGTCCCTTATCATTATTCAATTTATTTCTTAACGACATTATTCATTGCTTCCCGCACGCCAAAGCACTATTATTTGCAGATGATTTAAAACTTTTCCTGATTATTAAAACCTCTTTGGACGCCCATAGGCTTCAGTCTGACCTTGACAATCCATCAACAGGTCAATAAAGCGATTGTAACACCTTATACCTTGATAAACATGACAATTTTGGTCTATCATTAGTCTGAAGAAGGGTTGATGTAAGTTTTCACAGTTTCTTGTTGAATATTTGTGAATGGAGCTATTTGAGAAAATTGAAGCCTCATGTTTCTTTATATTTATAGTAATTTGCATTATATAAAGTGAAGGCACTATAAGAATTTGCATCTGTGAAAATGTAATGGGCCATGTCATTCATAAAGATGATAAATAGAACGGGATCTAAGATAGATCCTAGTGGTATACCAATGTTGATTGTCCTCGGTTGTGACTTCCTATCTTTCAAGTATGAAGCAATCCAGTTGCAAGGATAGTGCCCAACTGTCATTAGCAACAATAATTTTGAGTAGGAAGTACGATGAATTTCCCTAGGCAGACGACATCTGTAAAATCCAATAGAAAACTCTAAATCTGTTCATCCAAGAAGACTTCCCTTTATGGACATCAAGTACACATTTCATACAACATACTTTCAAACATTGTTTTCGTTCTTATTATCTGTAATACTTAGAAAATAAGTGAAAAAATCTTTCGATTGCTATTTTTTTGAGTAAAAATGCTTTACTATTGAGAACATTTAATAAAGTAACGGTGCTTAAGTACATACATTTTTGTGAATAACAATTAGTTTACTTATTTTATATTTTTCTACGCAACCTAATTCTTCAATACTATCGGCAAAACGACTAATGGTTCATTTTCCTTGGGATTATCAGAATACAAAGCCCATGTTCTGGCTATACAGTCGAAAATACCTGAAAAATGAAAGCATAATTAATCAATGTTTTTGAAATTCCTTGGTTATTCTCTCCAAAAATATCTTTTAGATATGATGAAACTAAAAAAAAATATATCTTGAAGGCCCATGTGAAATACAATACCTCAATTAAATTGTTGAATTATCTTCCTATAGGTAAACGCATTTTGAAGATGGATTATTAGTTGGAAGTAGTTGATTAAAATTGATCAAGACTAGTAATGACCTGGGAAATAAAAGAACATGTCGATGTGTAATAATGATTCATATCTATTTTCAACATGTATTTCATTATTTAAAAACTCCAAATCTCCAAATAGGTCATATGCATGTTGTATCGTAGTGGAATATATAACATGCATTTTTGGGAAAGTGGTTCTTAAATTCGTCCCTTTTTATAGCTTTACACCACTTTAATCGAATGTTTGCATTCCTCGGCACAAGAAAAAATACTTTTTGAGGAGCAATTTTCGTTGTATTGTTGCACTTTGGAACTATGCAGTACTTATAAACTGATTTTCCACTACTTTCCATCTTTAATTTATTGAAATTTTCAAGTAATACAATATAGAATCAACTATAAGTTGTTCACGTTAAGAAGAGAATGACGTCTCAAGATGACAAGTTACGGCGTTGCCAACATGTGCACTATTTCGAACTTTCAAATTTTTTTGTACTGTTAATATGTTTTATTGCTATTATCCTTACTTACGTTTAGTATTTGTTGGGACTATTTCGACAATGCTTTGGGCATATTGAATATACGCAGGTCTTATCAAAAGAAATGATTAGTTCTGAAAAGAAAGATCAACAGTTTTCGAGTTTTTTTTGGATTTGGCAACGTCTGAAATTGTTCTATCGGTTGAGCAACTTACAAAATAAAATGTTACTAGTTTCATTGCTGCTGAACGCATTTCAGTGGGAATTTTAACGTTATGTTGAATATACAAAATTTCCAAAAATGACGTCATTCTCTTCTTAACGTGAACAGCCTATATGTTTACTTTTCTGTGCTTTGGATCACTTTGTTGACATGTACTTTGACGGCTCACCAAATGGTCGATCTTTTGAATTGTCAATATTTGGTATACAATTTTATAATTTTTTTTCTGTCTAATTATTCATGTTTTTGGCATCTATCTCATGTTTCCAGTATTTGTATGCATTATATAATCGATTAGAACAATTAGAAAAAAATGCTTGTGACCTATTATGGGATGACATAGATAACTCACACCTTGGCAACACTGTACCGCTTGATGATGACTGTTGTCTAGACACAGCTGAATTTTAGCACAGAACTTATAATTATGATGAGTTCTGTGAATTGTAAACAGGTAGCTATAGTTTTGACGCTTCAATATCGATATTTGATTTCGATATTCGATACTTTAAACTTCAAAGTTTTGGTGAGGTTAAGGTAAATTGTAAAATCTTTTAGATAGATACCGAAATTATTTGAAATTTATTTTTTGAATCTAATTGATGCACAATTCAACATGGAATCGCCTGAAAAATATTCCATAATGCAGGAAGTAAGGTTGAAGTAGATAACATACTAGACAAGTTATTCACAGTATTTGTTCCTATTTAAGATTAAAAAAACTGAAGAAGCAGTGAAATCCACTTATGAACGCATAGATAAACTGGAACAAAAATTGAGGGCAGAATCGCTTCCTGAAAACAAGCAAAGAGTTATCGAACTGGAACTACTGGAAGTTAGAAAACTCTTGAAAACACATGAAGATCAACTAACTCATTTGAGAACACACAATAGGAAAACGTTTATATTTGTGGTGGCACTAATGTTCGTAGTGTTCACGGTGTACATGCTTTACGTGTTAGTTGGTGGTGAATGAATAATTNCTAGTGTATACTTTGGTAGGTGGTGGATTGAAAATATAATTTTAGCCGTTCAAATGCTGTTGTCATTCATTTGAATTTATTATTCATGTGCCGTTCAAAAGGTATAGTATGTTTTCATTTTTCTCAAAAAAATCTTTATTTATTCATCAATTTATATTTTGTCCCCTTCAAAGTAGTCTTCCTCAGATATAATACACTTTTGCCAGCGTTTTTTTTTTCCAATCCTCGAAGTAGTTCTGGTATACACTTTTCGGTATGTCCTTGAACCCTCTGGGCGATTTTATTTTTATCTCTTCTAACGTCGCCAAACGCCGTTCTTTCACAGGTTTCTTTAATCTAAGGAACAGGAGAAAGTCACAGGGGACCGAATCAGGTGAATATGGTGGCTGGGGCACGATTACAGTGTTGTTTTTGGCCAATACATTACAAATAAGTAATGACGAGTGACCGGGCCCATTATCGTGATGTAAAAGCCAATACAACGTGTTTTGGTATTGCTTCTCGTAGGCGTCGCATAACTTCAACATAATAATCCTTATTGACTGTGCTGTGGCAAGAACTCCTGATGCACTACGCCACGGTAACCGAAAAAAAAAACAGTGAACAAAACTTTGACACTTGATCAAACTTGGCGTGCTTTTTGGTCTTGGCTCTTCCATTGACACGATTAGACTTTGGTTTCGATATCTTAACCATACACCTGTGATTCGTCACCAGTTATTGCCCTTTTGAGTAAATCTGGATCGCCGTTGACGTCATTCAATAATTTCAGAACGATGTTCATGGGACGTTATTCAGGTCAAAATTCAGCATATTTGGATCGAACTTTGCTGCCACACGCTTCATGCCGAAAAATTGCATGTCATGAGCCAACCGATATGCCGACATCCTCAATAACTTCTCAATAGTGATTCGACGATTCTTCATAACAATTTTCTTCACTTTCTCAACATTTCCATTGGTTGTTGATGTACTGGGGCGTTCAGGATGAGCGTCGTCATTAACATCTTCTTAACCTTCTGTAAAAAGCTTGTAACACTTGTAAACATTTTTCTGACTCAGAGTACAATCACAGTATGTCACTGTCAACGTTTCAAGTGGTTTTGATATATTTATTTCAATTTATACACAAAATTCTTGAATGAAAAATGAGAAGTGAAACTTTCTATGTTTTTTACCACTATTATTTGTAACTATCATTACTGCAGTTTCGTCCTATAGTGTATACAATAATAAAGTTTTATCGAAACAATATAGGACGAAACTGCAGTAACGATAGTTACAAATAAAAGTGGTGAAAAACATAGAAAGTATAATTTCTAATTTTTCATGATGATTTACCACGTAGTAACAGCTACATCAATCAATGTAGTAACGGCTACACCAATCAATGTAGTAACGGCTACATCAATCAGTGTATTCATTGTAATTGTTGAAAATGAATTGTTTGAAAATGTTATTACAGGACGAAACTGCAGTAACAACATTAGTTACAAATAATAGTGGTAAAAAACATAGAAAGTTTCATTTCTAATTTTTCATGATGATCTACCACGTAGTAATGGCTACATCAATCAATTTATTCATTGTAATTGTTGAAAATGAATTGTTTGAAAATGTTCTTATAGGACGAAACTGCAGTCGTAACATTAGTTACAAATAAAAATGGTAAAAAACATAAAAAGTTTCATTTCTCATTTTTGATGATGATCTTCTACCAAGTAGTAACGGATACATCCATCAATTTATTGAAAATTCTTAAATCTGCAAATTCTTTGATCCATTTTTTTTCGATAGCAGAACATCACCTAACACTCAAAACACTTCTAACTTTTGTGACTCGAACCAACAAACTAAACATGCTAAACATCTGAAGCTGAAACTGTGAACATATGTTCGAAACGAGTTAGTAGCGATCAGGGCCGTCTTTAACCTATTGGAGGCCCTGGGCATAATATAATAATAGGGCCCCTATGATTTTGACAGAACACTATTTTTTCACAAACTACACCTAAACGATTTGATCTCCACAAACTTTATTGAAAATATATCACAACCTGTTTCGCTAAACATTAGCTTTTTCAAGTCATTAATCACTTGAAAAAGCTTATGTTTAGCGAAACAGGTTGTGATATATTTTCAATAAAGTTTACGGAGATCAAATCGTTTAGGTGTAGTTTGTGCAATTACTATGGATCTTCATCAAGTAACGGCTGAATCAATCAGAAAAAGAACACTATTTTGTTAGAATAGACAAAGAAAGTAGATAAATAAGGTTGAATATTTATTTTTATTAACAATCACATGAAACGAATAGGTAATAAACATTCTATTTCTTACCCTTTCTCATTAACATCTTCATAATAAAATTCAGCAAATTCTTTGCAACTTTGTCTCAACTCTTCAGAATTCAGAGTTTTCAAGCGAAAAGATAAATCAAAACGTTTACTGACATTCTTATACGAACTTAATCGCTGTTTTAAATGAACGCTGAGGGTATCAATTATGGGAAGAAAGATTTCTATTTTAAATTTCTCTCTTCCATTCAGTTGGACTGACGGCGCAGAGCTATAAAAAAAACTCTGGTGAGAACTTCTGCGTTTTGTTCTTTGAGATAGGTCCTTGTAGCCAGATTTCGGGTTTCTTTCTTTGGCAGACGACTCGAAGTAATCAAATTTATCCCTGAGGTTGATAATAAAATTATCAAGTGAAGTAAACATATTGGTTGCAACGTCCAGTGTTATTGTTTCTTTCTGAAGATAATTACTCATTTTGTCTATTCTTTTCAATATACAGTTCCAAATTTCTGTTAGTATAATATATTCGAGTTTTTCCATTTTCTGGACAGACTAAGGGCTTCGTCTTTAGTTTTTCGTGCCTGTTCTGTATCTTTTGCGATGGATATCAAAGCTTCTATAACTTGTTCATTACCTTCATGCAAGGCGCTTACGGCATCTGCTCGGGCTGACCATCTGGTTTGTGAAAGACTTTTAACAATTTTTTTTTCAACCTAAATGTTCTGTCAATATATTCCATTGACGAGTAGAGGCCGAAAAAAAGTTGTACACTTTCTGAACCATTTCAAAAAACTTTGTTGCCTCCGATACACACCCAGTAGCATGTACACCTACTTATTCAAACTTGGAGCTTTATACTTCGCTTCGTTCGCTCAATTCAAATGGAGTGAGTCACACTGATGAGTGTACCTAATACTGATGATTTTTCTTTAAAATGTGTTTGTGCTTAGTATACCATTATATCTTTGAATGTATCTAAGCATGCTGAAGTCGGAAAGCCTAATTTTTGGGAGTAGAATAGCTTCGCGCATGTAAAAGCTAGTAAGTTGGTATAGTAGTCAGTAATTTAGGTTCGATTCCTTCGAATTATACTAGAGATTTAGTATTTGATCTGAGAAGGGCTCCTATCGATTGCGGGGCCACACTATAACTAGGCGTCAAGATTCAGTAAAAAGGCACAGGTATTTGAAGTAATACTGTATTTCCCATTAAGAAAAGAAATAATATCATAAAACTCTAATGAAAGAAATATTTCAATAATAAACAATGCGCACTATCAAAAAGCCATCATTTTATTATCTCTTGGAGAGTAAACTAACCATTCACGTACGCTACGCTGTCCAAAAGTCTTTTTTTTTAAGTTTGTACCAAGAAACGTAAAATTTTCTGAAATTGGAAACTGGAAAGTCTTGGCAGTCATCTGATAACCCAGGTTGGCAAGTTCCATTTAGAATTAGTTGATGTACTATTTCAGGGATCAAAATAGTATTTTTGAATAAAAATGGGTCGACGACAAAATTGAAATATCAGTTATGAAATGATTCATGTAAAAACAAAATGTTTTTCCCACCTTCATTCTCGGCAGACATCTTATCAGAATGGTCTTGTTCTTGAGTACTATCACTATCCAAATCCGAATTAGAATCTACTTCCGCAAATGTTAAATCAGCAAAACCTAATGAAAAATCAGATTTTGTTCTTACTTTGTAGGTTGATGTAGATGGAACATCAAGAAATGTTGATTCCGTACTGACCGTACTCTCGATAGTCAGGTTTATTTGGAACCAATACCTCTACGCAACTTTGAGTTTGAATTAATTGTTCTTTTGTTTCTCTGTAAATGTATAATTAGGAACTTACGAATTGAAAGTTTTATAAAATTTTTATTTTGTTTGAGAGTGTGATGTAGCAGCATATTTTAACTTCTTTTCACGTAACTTTCGATAATCTGCTCGACAAACTGTTTATTCGTCAAAGTAAGAATAACAAACCAGACTACTACTACGCTACGAGTGCCACGCCGAGATACAATCAGGTTCCAATCTTTTAGACAATGATCACATTCTTATTAGACAGGGAGCGATATGGGATTTACAACTGATCGAGGTCGAGGTATTGAAAGCGAATGTTGTCACGTTTATTGGTTTCCTGTATTATATACCTAACAATAGATTTTTGAAATATTTAAAATCGGAAGGGCGCTAAGAACAACATTTTGCAGAAGGAGGATGAGGCATACTGCCCCCACGTGGCGCCGCCACGGAAACGAATGTACTAACATAAACACAATTAAAAATCGCCAATCGACTGTACGTAGCCCGTGAAATTTTAACATTCACCTTATTTTTTGAATAGACCTCGAATACTTATGTAAACAACAAATGTAAAAGTCTCAAATATTATTGAAAATAATATCTTTTGTTCACAGTGAATTTTTAAGGCATTTGTAATAATCATTATGTGTAACAATTCGTTTACTACAGACTCTATGATATATAATTCCTTTCAAACATTTTTTTCTTACCAACTGCAATAGTCAAGACATGATCTCCAGGATTATCTCTGAACACTGGGAACTCTGTGTTGGTACGGTCGCTGAGCATCATTATCACATCATTTTTATTTTGCGGGGAACGATAACTTTTAAATGTTGCCATTCTGCATATGCTACTCTGCGACATGTCCTCATTAACTTCCTCAATTTTCATTCGCAAGTATCTGAAAATAGAAGGTATTTAGTAGATAAGAAAAGTTTTTTACAAAATAGTTTGAGTACGAGGATCGTTAAAAAGTAATAATGTAAGTATTTTACAGAAATAAAGTAATGTTTCAGTCTTTCGAATCTACATGCTCGTTTTTCAAAGTAACCCTCTTTATTTCAGTAAACTTCTCCATTGTTCTTACTCAAAGTGAAAGCTTGACTTACACTACAAAGAACCTCCCCGCAATAACGCTTGGCCTTGATGGCATTTCACCTTATTTCCTGAAATGCTGTTCTTTTACATTAACTGTGCCACTTCAGATAATAATAATTATATATACAGTGTCATCCCCAAAGTATGCACCAGATGGGAAACTTATTTATTAAGGATTTTCAACAAAAAGTTATTCTTGGTAAAAGTTTGTGCATCCCCTAAAACTGAACATGCACCAACGAAATACAGTAAAACACACGTAATTTACGAGAATCCTTCAAAATATAGGATTTTGAGGCAAGAGTAAAGCACCCTTATTTTGAAAAATCTCGAGAAATGTTATTTAAAAAAATTGTTCAGCACTAAAAAATTCATCTAGTTTTGGAGTCATGGCCATCTAAGTGAAGTTTTATTTTTTTACCCATTTATTTAATGGGGACTACGAAAATGAAAATTTGCTAGAACGATAAATAGACAGCATCCTGTATACGACTGTTCATTTCAAAAGCTTGCAATATTACAAATCACACAACTATGGTGCTAACCACAGTCAATTTTTTTGAAAAGTAAAATAATTTTTAAAGGTTTTGGTGCAGTTATTTTAACTTTTTATCAACACCGAAAATTAAACAAAATTGTTTTATATTTATATCATTTCTCGAAATAATCATATAACACGGCATCACAGAAGAGACAGTCAGCACGATACAGGAACCATGAACTTTTTGACAGTTTCGAAGTGATTAAGTATTGAATATTACTGGTGTTCTATCCCAACACCAAACCGTTATTTTTAACACCTCGACACGTGTCGAGAGTTTAAACTTCCTCATGAAGATGATCACTTGATGATTGAAACACGTGTCGAGGTGTTAAAAATAACGCTTTGGTGTTGGGATAGAACACCAGTAATATTCAATACTTAATCACACCAAAGGTTCCAAACAGTGCAAGTTCCAAGTATTGCCAACCTGAAAAATTTCGTCGAGTTGTTAGTGATGCTGAAACAAAACTAGTTTGGTTGAAATGTTGGCCTCACAACCTGTGGAAATGACATCATTATAGTTTCTCGACTGAAATTACACATCCCACAAATTTCAAATGCTTGAATTTCCCGCTAAAATTGCCTTAAACACCCCCAACACAGAATATAGAGGTGTTTTCTGGCGTTTAATCGTATTCGAGCGTGTGTTTAAAAACGTTTCGTAGTGACGTCATTAATAATGAGATTCGCCAGAATGGAATACAATTCAATAATAGAAACACACTTTTCAATTTTCTCTAACTTCATAAAGTTGACATTCTGTGAATGAAAGAGTTCTTGAAATTTATGTTCCGGAGAATACGAACTATAATGATTGATGTTTTCGTGATTCAACTCAATATATTCCAGAACAGAAATTTCAAGAACTCTTTCATTTATAGAATATCGATTTTGCAGAATAAACTTACTGAAACCGTTTCTCTGATATAATCCACACTATTTATATCCAACATAAATGACTGTTTTTGTGATCTACTTATACATTGTATAACTTTCATTAATCATTTCATTCATGAAAACATAAAATTTACAATAGAACTAAAAACCAATAATTCGATAAATCGTCTGAAGGAACAATTCGTTCAGGCCAGTCTCAACTTCCTACACTGTAGGTTGATGGACTGACACCCATCAGAAAACTACTCCCCTGGCTAATACCACGAAGGGCGTTGGATTATATCCGACAGGTGTTAGTGCAGGTTTCTTCACTGAAGTTATTCCTGTTGGCGAATGTCGAGTTAAGCCAGCGCGGGGCATGTAGCAAATTCTGTCAAGATGCCCTTGGTTTGGTGTAGGTTCTCAAGTTAAGGGTATTGAATAAAACAAAAATGTTACAAATAAACTTTTCTGGATTTAATATGGGTAAATTCAGAGATGACGCTTTCATATATCGACTTCTTTGGGAAAATCATATTCTATATTCATCAAAGTGATATGATTAGGACGTTCTTTGCCCATCGTGTTTCAACTTAACGTTGAAAATCTTTAACGCAAAGATCTTTCTTTTTCTTCGGCCCTAAATTCTTCAACTGCATTCCGATTGAATTAAAATGTATTCGAAAACTAGAACAATTCAAAAAAGAAACAAAGAAACATATTCTACAATTTTCAAACAAATTTTATAATATAATGAATAATAATTTAAGATGAACCTTACCTTTAAAAACTATCTGTTCTCCTCTGTAACTGACCCTGCTTGAAACGGTTTGGAATCCTCACCATTTGCAACTTATATTATATAATTATTNAATGATTGGAACGAGAAAATAACTTTTTAAAAAGAATTTATTTTACAAACTAGAGACGACTGTCTCTTACGAGAGCTACAAACAGAATGATAATTAATATAATGTTAACTGGATGCTAACTGCATGTCGAGATAAGGGATTCCTGGAATATCTCTTACTCAGCTGAATCTCTGTGTGAATGGCCGTGTCGTGGGAACTATGACCACGTAACTCGCGCTAGATTGAATTTTTTTTCTTTTCACTTTTAACCCTTACGTACAACGACCCACATCATGCAAACGATCAGAGTAACATACCAACATTATTAAAAATACGTAGTACATTGATGCTATCAATATTTGTTTTTTTTTTACATATTTAAAAATCTATAGCCGCTTCCCCCACCGATAAAAAGGTATATATTATATAACATTTTTTTCTTCTTATCATCTATGCTTTGCAACCTGATATGTCTCAATGACGCTAGAGTAAATCCCCATTTTGCATCGTGGGCTCCCCTGTTATTACAACGTATATTTTTTTTTCAAGTTTTCAGCACTTTAAAAACTATAACAATCAAAATAAAGCAGAAACTGACAACTGACGTAACGTAACGTCAAATTCCGTTTCAAAACCAACCTCACGGTAGTTTTGAATCATCATGAATACGTTTCAAATCATAGTTGATGTGGTGTCATCGTTTCAAAGCCAGAATGAACGTATTTGAATCACAGACGAATACGTTTTGAATACATGAGCGCCAGAAAACGCCTCAGGTCACAAAAACCTGACCTCTAAACATCAAAAATTGCCGCCAGGTAAGTGTCTCTTTTGTAAAATATTCTTTGGGATATGGTTTGTGATTTTACCAAATTATAATCATTTCAAAAACTACACCTCAACGATTTGATCTCCACAAACTTTATTTGAAAAATATATCACAACATGTTTCGCTAAGACATTAGTTCTTTCAAGTGATTTGTATATCAAATTATCCTTACATTACTATTTATATACTACAGGTAACCATAATTGAGACACTACCTCTAAGAAATTACCTGAACCTCTACATAACGTATCTACCTGTTCAATTATGATTACCTAAAGCATATTGCCTCACATCTACATCAATAATAATTCTTTCTCGGTTTTTAAGAAAACAAGTTCAATAATGGTGATCAATTCAAATCTAGTTGATCATTCATTAGAATGTGTGAATTTTTAAGCCCCATACTTGTAGAAATTTTCATGGATAATCTGGAGGAATTCAACATATTCAAATCATCTTCTAGAAGAAAATCACATCTTTAATGAAGAGTTCGAAATTTTGCACATAGAAAATACAGGTTTGAAACTGAATCATTTGGAAGCAATGGAAATTAATAAACTTCGAAATTCAAACATTCTAATAAATGACCAATCAGATTTGAATAGATCACCATTATTGAACTTGTTTTCTTAAAAACCGAGAAAGAATAATTATTGATGTAGATGTGAGGCAATATGCTTTAGGTAATCATAATTGAACAGGTACGTTATGTAGAGGTTCAGGTAATTTCTTAGAGGTAGTCTCAGTTATGGTTACCTGTAGTATATAAATAGTAACATAAGGATAATTTAATGTACAAATCACTTGAAAAAGCTAATGTCTTAGCGAAACATGTTGTGATATATTTTTGATATAGAGTTTGTGGAGATCAAATCGTTGAGGTGTAGTTTTTGAAATTACTATGGATCTTCATCAAGTAACGGCCGAAACAATTATAATAGTTAAAATTATGGGTTTGCATACATTTTAACCTCTGGTTAACTTGGTGTACTCGGCACATAATCCCTAAATGAATCAAGATCAAAATGAATACTTCAAAGATGATCGCACACTTTGAATTATACTTACTTATTGCAATGCATTATATTTTCTCCAGGGCCGGTAGTCAATATATTCAACTGAGATTCACTTGTTTTTTCCGCAGGGGCCATTTCGACGTTGTGAAAAACTCTATTTCCCTCTTGCTTCAAAAATGTCATATTTATGGAGCATCCATCTCCAGCTCCACATCCTACATCCCGTAAAATTTCTTGGGCGCTAGCGAAGTTTTCGGCAGATAGTAATGCTCTAGTGATGAAGTGTCTTGCTGAGAAAAAATATTAATATTTTTATACAGACAAGTAAAATCTTAATAACAAAATCAAAAATATTATTAAACGTGGTAGAATGGAAGCGATTATGGGAAAGTTGAAAAAATATAAGAGACCAACATCCCGGCTGGTAGCCTGTAGTCGAACGGAACCTGAAGTAACGTTTTGTCTGCTACTGCGGCAGACATTATGAATGTTATGTGCTTAGACTGCGATGATTGAATGGATTTTTCTCTTCGATCGTGACTCCGGACATGAACGTTTATGTTATTATACAGGGCTATTCAAATTCGTTTTATAAAAAACTCAATACTCAACCTACTGTGTAGGTATATAGAGACTGGCTTGAACGTTTGAAGTTCATTTGCTTTAGATTGTTGACTGCCAGTCTTCAAGCATAGCCCACTGACTAATAAGAAAATATAAAGAGATATTGTATACTACAAAATGGCTAATGACCTCAGCAGTCGATGCCAGAATAATAATTAAAAAAAATAACTTCTGTGAGACTCATAATAAAAGTAAAGTACTAGACTATGGTGAACTACGACTTATGGAATGGGGTGAAACAATTTTCACACAGACCGACATTACAGGTTGAGCAAATAATGTTGCTTCGTTTTTCTTTGGCTTAGGTGCTACACTGAGCGCACCTTCTATAAGTTTTAATCGTTGTGGGCATATGATCGCCTACGTTCGAAAATCTGCACAGTTTTCATGCCATCAGGAATAAGTGACTGTTTGCTTTCTTTGATGACGTCTGGGTCGTGAAAAACTGGTTGTGCAGATGTAAATGCAATATTTAATATTTCTGGAACCAAATCTGAGCTGCTTGTATGAAATAAGACATGTTCAGATTCTTGTTCAGGGTGAGAGTTGAACTTTTTGTCGAGCTTCGGAGGGATTATCCTCTCCATCCGAATTACCCTCACATTCAGAAACAATAGTCATATTATCACTGATAACATCTTTGTCATTCGTCAGCTTTTCTAACTGCTCATCTGACAATTTTTTCGAATGCCACATATTGACATTACATGGGACTAAAATTGCACATTGACACTGCAAAAAACACGCAAAATAAGATTATGCGTGTAATTTCAGCCCAGCCAAGTATCAGATACGTAAAATTATGTTTTTTTCCCACAATTCATATATTGACGGGCATTTATGTATATCAAATATTACCTATCTCAGTAATAATTCAATAGAAAAAAAACTGAAGTTAAAATGTTCAAATTCAAACGTCGAATTATTTTCACGTACACTGTGGCTAAATATCAATACTATTTAAAACAAATACACTATAATTTGAGAGTAATAAATACTTATGTAACTCACTTACATTTTTTTGTGGTAATATTTCCTTCTATTATTCAAAAAAAAGTTACAACACGAACAAAAACATGGACAATAAAAACTAAAAAAATGTATGTTTTTTTATGAACTATTGGGATAATAATTTCCCATCTAATACTTCTGCGCTAGAATGACTCTTCCTATATTGGCGAATAGATGGCAGCACATTCATTCTTATGTATACTTATATCTTGGAAGATATTTTCCCCGTAAAACATTAGCTGCCTGACTTAGATATGGTGGGAAAATATTATACCAGTAAACCTTGAAGGGTTAAATTGTCGCAAAGTTGCGTATTTTAGAGACCTATTCAATGATGTAAAAAAATCGAATATAGCTCTTTTGGTTCTGGAGATATAGAGGAAAAACCAAAAAAATCCAAATTATTTTTCCATGTATTTTTTATACAGGGTGTCATCTGACTTGGGCCACCCCCATCTTCGAATTTTTAAATGCGGACCTGTATTTTTTGTTGTATTTTTTGTATCGTCGACGTTCATTTCATACTGAGAAATTAAATGAAATTTCATATTTCGGGATGTTTGGGTAATATTCGATTAGAATTGTGTGAATTATTCCCTTTTGAATTACAGACCTGGAAATTGGTTGACTGAGTTGAATAAAACCACAATAGCAACTTTCACGTCTTCCTATGTACCGTCGAATCTTTCGAGAGTTTTTTTTTTCATTTTTAGGTACCTATTCATATTTTGTTTATTGCTCTGAGCGTTTTCTACAATGAACTTCGAATAAGAAAACCTTTTATGAGTATCTGAAACATATCTACATCAAAAATATATTATATGTGTTTTAATAAGCAGAAAAAGAAATGATAGCAATAATAACATCCGAAACGAACACTATAATTGTAATGAAAATTGAAATGAAGTAATTTATATACACAAAAAAATTATTGACGTAATAAATGTTGAAATTGGAGTCTTTCCGAATTTCACTAGTTCGGACTTCCATTGTCTACTATATAAAATGATTTGAAATCCCTGAAACAAGTAAAAAAGAATAATTAAAAAAGAATAGTTGAAAATAACAATTATATTAAGCAACAATAAACCTGAAATGAAATGATAGTGAAATAACCTACAAGTAAAAATATAATAATTGAATAAATAAAAATTAAAGGAATGAAAAAGAAAATAATAAAAAATAAAAAAGTGTAGAGATTCCAAGTCACGTTAGTTCACGACGTTTCGATTGTTGGTATCTACAATCGTCTTCGGGTGATGACTGTCAGCAAAATACTTTGCCACAATTTAACCGGCACTCCATCTCTTATCGTTTACGAGATCCCCATGTACAGAAACGAATTTGAATAGCCCTGTATAAACTAATTCATTTTGGAATAACATTTAGGCTATAATTCACAAAGGTTTTGTATAATTTTGGTTATAATATAACGATAAGTATTAAGTAAGTCGGAAAAATTCTTGCTTCCTGCCTATATCGTTGGAGTTACATGCAGATAATGTACCGTAAGATTTTTTAGTAGCCACTATATATTATGCAAGATTTCCTTGAAATTCTATCAGTCGAAAATATCTCAGAGAATTTCTTACAAAATTCCAAACCACTGGAAGTGTAGCTACAGTTAGAGGAGCTGGAAGAAAATATATCTCGGACGAGCAACATATAGGAATCTTTGCATCTGTAGTCTGTAGTGAATAATCCGCTGCAGTCCACGACAACAACTGCTCATGAAAATAATGTCTCAACATCCACCGCCAAGAAATACCTCAGAAGACATAAGTTTCACCCCTATAAACTCAAAATACCACATGAATTAAATGAACATAACCCTACAGAATAAGGCGTTTTGTGAGTTATTGTTCGAACATTTGATTGCAAATCGAATCTGCAATAAAAGTATTTGTTTTAGTGACGAATGCACTTTTTTCTAAAACGGAAATGTCAACTGCCAAAATCTACGGTATTGGTCAGACATAAACCCATAGTTTTTTGAGGTCACACTCAAACTACTGAGAAAATAAATGTCTGGGTAGGAATATTGGGGATCATATTGTTTGTCCCATATATCTAGAGAAAAATCGGACTGGTAATTTTGGAAATTCTTTTAAACATCTCTCATGTATTCAAGGAATTGTAGCCAACAATTCTGATTAACGGAAAAACAGATTTTTTTTAACGGAATCATGATGCATTCGCAAATCCAGTTAGTTTCCAACAAGATGTTGCGCTCTTATACTTTCTGTTAGGCCTGTAAGGGATTGGTTGGATCAGACATACCTGCAGGCATGTTGATTGGTAGGCGCGGTCTGTTGAGATGACCTGCTCGTTAACCGGATTTTCCGATTTTTGTCCGACTCTCATATCTTGCCTCGTTCAAAAGTTAAGAGGGGGGGATTATTCACGTTCGCACTGTATATTATAATATCTGTATAGAGGGGACAAATGCGTTCTATTTCGCCAACTTAAATAGACCTTAACACTTTCAGAAAAACAATAATAAAATCATTATTCTTTGTTAGTTCTATGAGAAAATGTTTCATTCATCAGACAATAACACACAAATTTCTCCATTCCGAAGGGAAATAGAAGTTTCAAAAATATCCGTGACATTACTACCACTGAAACCTGACCCTCCCCGCTCAAAAAATGTTCCAAAATGTATATGATTTTGTGAAGCAGAAAAAATACACAAATGAATATACGAGATGGCTATTCAATTAGTACTACTCATTCAAATATCTCTTTAACAAAATTACAAATTTGAAGAATTTCTTTCGTGATATGAAATTTTTCTTAATTTCGGCACGAACCGTCAAATTGATCTTCTTCTTATTTTTCCATCAATGAATTCAGTCCATGAAATTTATCTCAAAAACAAGTTGGCAATGCCGCGAGTTTACTTCTGTACAGTGATCAAAACAACAAGAAAACATGAAGTAGAAGAAAATTGAATCATTTGATATGAATATGTTTTACGGTGTTGCCAAGTTCATATTAAAACTTAGTGACGTTAACACCATCGTTTTTACTCGATTTTAAAAAAAGCTACTGGCAAAAAAATATACAAGCAGTTTTCGCCTATGCGGTTATCTCAATTTCAATGTAAGGGTCTCCAAGACAATCGAACGTGCTGGATTTTTTCAGCTTTAACTTAACAACAAGAATTATCAGTGGGACAGTGCTTGAAATAAGAAAAAACTGTAGGAACTTGAATAAATATTATTTCATTGTGGCGATAAATTGTCCTCTTGTGTGGATTCTGAAGTTTTAGTTTTTTAGAATTATCGATTCCATACGGCCTTGTTAAAGGATAATAGCTAACCTATAGGTTAACCTCCAAACTGAAACCATCATTATTTAGCAGATCAAAGATAAGTTTGACTCTTGCGTGATCTAAACTCATGTTAGGCTGAGATAAAAACTAATGACATGAACCAGAATTGCATGCAATCCAGCATGATTTCATCTCTTTATATCGATTTAGAAAATGTGACACGTAGTTTGAGAATAACGAAATAACTCTAGTAGTAGTAATAATTAAGTAGTGATAATTAATGACGCGTAAGAAATAATCAACACTTTAGGAATTATACTCATTTACATTAAATTAATTGATCAGTCCTAATTGAATGAATAGATACACATAAAGTGCATCAATTCATTGCTTTTACTATGAAATGATTAATGAAAATAACACAATTCATAAGTAGTTTACAAAAACAGCCATTTATGGTGGATATAAATGGTGTGGATTATATTAGAAAAACGGTTTCAGGAAGCTTATTCTACAAAGTTGACATTCTGTGAATGAAAGAGTTCTTGAAATTTATGTTCCGGAGAATACGAACTATAATGATTGATGTTTTCGTGATTCAACTCAATATTTGTGTTGCTTGTGCTCGGCAATGCGAACTTTCAATGTCCTCTTAGTTTCACCAATGTATGATACTCCGCACTCGCAGGGTATCCGATAAATGCAATTCTTGGAATCGCCGTCAGCGTTTGGTGGCCTGATTTTCGTGAGGCTGCTACAGATAGTGTTCCCAGATCTGAAGCAGGTTCTGATGTTACACTTGGACCCAATCCTTCTTATCTTTTCCGACAATCCACTGATGTAGGGAAGTACAAGTACTGGTTGTGACAGCTTTTTTTTTCTTGTGGAGCTCTTGCTCCACAAGAGCTAAAGCCTGTTTCACCATCACTTTGGAGTAGCCAGATCCCCATCTTCGGATAGCTTCCTCTGTATGATTTGAAGTGTTTCTTTGACAGGGACGTTGATGTATAGACTTTTCACGTCGAAACTGACAAGTTGATCCTGCTCTTTGACTTCGATTGTCCCTAGTAGTTCAAAAAAATGCTTTGAATTTTTCACAAAAGATGATGCACCGCACTAATTCGTCGCCTAGGTTGTTCTCCAAATCGTCTTCGTAAGCACTGACCATACTTGAGGTGTTTTCCAAAATCTCTTTTTCTGTAAGGGAGTGTAGCTGTCGAAATACTTCAAAACCACCAGAAATTTTATGATATGCTTTCATGCGTTTAGATAAAGCAGACAGTAGTTATCAATAATGACAAAACACGTGCATTTTGAAACGTTGTCCAGGTGTTTCATTTTCAACAAAGTCGTCGACTGGAGTAGAGCCGATTAAATGGTCGTACTTTGTATTCCGCTTGCATCGTCT